ACAAGCCCACTGCTGCGCAGTCAACTTCCAACGTAGCCGCCCCTTCATCGGGGAGTATGATAGCGCACAGACGCGTACGATCAGCGACAAATCCCCCGAGCAAGCTATCACAATCGTCTATCCCGCCCCTGACTCCTCATCCCGAAGAGGCAAAAACTCCTGGAGGAACTGCTGTCTTGCCATCGTCTCCTGGTGTGTCTGGTGGTTTCTTTGCTTCCATCTTTTCTGCTGCGCAGAACGCTGCTAGCAACATTACCGACACCATTGCAATCAATCAAAACGCTAAGAACAAGGCTAGCCAACAACAGCAAAAGGAGGAAAAGGAGACCGAAGGCGGTGGTGAGGAAGTCATTGGACCAGCCAACGCTAGTACGGCTGCAACAGAAGGCGCCCCGCAGCGTAGACCTGCCGTTGAAACTCTTGGCTCTGGAAACCTTAGCCTCGAACAACTTGGCATTACTGACAATAAAGACGCCAGCCCCATGTCTTCTGCAACAAACGTAGCCATGCAGGCCGACGAGGCTTCTGCAAAGTCTGAGGACAGGGCTGCTGCTCAAGCAGTCTCGGCCGCATATGCAGGCGACAAGCCCCCGTCTGTAGCCAGCGAACGCCCACGGTCGCTGACTGCCGTCTCTGGTCAATCAGGAAATGGTGCTGCCACTCCTCCCCGGCAAACCGAGCTGACCGACTCGCCAGCGTCGATACACCGACAGGGCAGCGTTCGCAGCCGTATAAGCGCTGGCAGACGGAGACGACACAGGGGCAGCTCCGCTACCACAGGGAATACACTGGGTGGAGTCATTAGTGCAAGTACAAATACTCTAGCTCCAAGTGCCGCACTGCAAAGCCAGCGGTTGAATGGAACTGGTTTTGCAGTCGCACCGCCCAGACGAAACAAGGAATTCCATAATCTGTTCAAAAGCGTTCCCGAGGACGATTATTTGATCGAGGACTATAGTGCAGCCCTCCAGAAGGAAATCTTGCTTCACGGACGCTTATATGTTTCAGAAGGCCATTTGTGTTTTTCTAGTAACATCCTGGGATGGGTTACCAACCTAGTCATCAGCTTCGACGAGGTTGTGTCTGTTGAGAAAAAGTCCACTGCTGTCCTCTTTCCCAATGCTATAGTCATCCAGACTCTCCACGCTCGTAACGTATTCGCCTCATTTCTGTCGCGAGACTCGACCTATGATCTCATCATTGGCATCTGGAAGATATCTCACCCCAATCTCAAGTCATCTCTCAACGGTGTCACCCTAGACGGATCAGGCGGCACGGGCGACAAGACGGAAAAAGCAGAGTCAGTCCCCAGTGACGACGGATCCAGTCAAGATTCGGATGACGAGGTATACGACGAAGACGCCGAGGACGATGACGGTATAGGTAGTTTCACAGAGCCTGGAGAGGGTAGCGTAACTGGCAGCGAAGCCGGCTCTGCTGTACCTGTCGAAACGACACGAAAGGTCAGCGGCGCAGTAGCACAGGCTTATGGTGGCGGTGGTGACACTGCGGATGCTGCCAAAGCGGCAACCAACGGGGCTGCTTCTGCTGCACAGGATTTCCCTGGTCCATCAACACATGGACCTAGCGAGTGCGGTGACAGTGATCAACACTACGACAAACTACTCATCGACACTACTATTCCCGCGCCTCTAGGCAAGGTGTACAGCTTGATGTTCGGTCCTGCTTCTGGTGCATTCATGCGCAAGTGGTTGGTCGACGATCAAAAGTGTACTGACCTGCAAATGGAAGACGACAAGAAGGGGCTGGGTGAAGACTCAAAAACTTTCAACTATTCCTACATCAAGCCACTGAATGCCCCTGTAGGCCCTCGACAGACCAAATGCAACATCTCTATGAACTTGGAACAGTTCGACTTGGAGAAAGCTATGAGTGTGCAATGCAGCACGGCAACTCCGGATGTGCCCAATGGAAGCATATTCCTCACCAAGACGCGGTATTGTCTGATGTGGGGACCGGGAAACAGCACACGCCTGATCATGACATTTACTGTCGAATGGAGCGGAAAGAGTTGGCTAAAGGGTAAAACAATAACTTTGTTACTGATGATCAATAATGTACTGACCATAACCAGGCCCTATCGAGAAAGGTGCGAATGATGGGCAAATGTCATACGCCACCTCACTCACTGCTGCTCTTCGCACTGCTGTAAGCGCCGCCAAAGCCGGCGGTGGCAAAGCTATGGGCAAGGGCGGAAAGGGCAGGAAACGCTCCAAAGGAAATCTCTTGGACGATGCACCCGCACCAACGTCAGTTGCTGCTCCAGTCAGCCAATCCAAGGAAAGCAACTGGGGCGTATTGGAGCCTGTTCGCAGTTTGTTGGGCCCACTAGCCGATGTGCTAGAGTCTATCTTCACTCCACAAGTCATCATCTTTATCCTCGGAGCGCTCCTCATGTACACATGGCTTTTCCGAGGTACTACAGGAGTCACTGGTCCGAACCAGTGGTCAACTGCTCAGAGACAGGTAGCGTACGAAGAGATTTGGCGTCATGAAGAGTCCGATCTATGGGCTTGGCTCGAAGAGAGGGTCGCGTTGGATCGGGTCCAAAGTTCCGTTGTCACCGGCGCAAGGCTTCAGCCGGAAGTCGACGCGCAGAATCGAATTTCGTCCAGAGACATGAAAGAGAGGGATATGGACGAAGCCATTCGTGTGACTGAAGAGAAGTTGAGGGCGCTAAAGGATGCCGTCATCCGCCAGCGCTCAGAGTCGCGCACGGCAAGTCCCAAAGAGGAGCAAACGTAGGGTGCGACCGAACGAGTGCCCACCACGTGGGCCACTGACTCTTAAAACAAGGGCGCGCCCTTGGTGTAAATTATGCAAGACTTCGCATGGCGACGGCGTCTCTTATTATTTCCTTTTTTGTATTTCCTTCAAGCCGGTATCTCTTGGCGCATCGGATGGCGCTCGGCCCTGAGGTTTGCATTTGAACTTTCTTCCTTCCATTACTCGTCATACAGCGCAGCAACGCCAACAACGTCATGTTCTGTTTCGTTTGTGTTTCCAAAACTGTTTTAACAAAATACACGCCTCATGCAACTACAACGCAAAGTTGCTTTTCTTATTTTTCTTTGACAATAAACGGGGTCGTTTTCTCTTTTGATCAATTGGTTGATGGGGTAGATTCGTTCTTGTGTAACTAGTCCTTGCAATTTGTAAACACCCATTCCCTCATTTGTCGATCTATTCTATTTTGCCTCTTCCTTGCATCGAACAAACGTGCATTGCATGAGGTGTTTTGCATGAGTCACGAACGTCACTGCAGATCTAGCTGGGTTCTGAGATTGCTTCCGACTGCCTCCGCGGCATTGACAAAAGTGGTGTGATTCGTATCCAGAAGCTCTACGGCTACATGCATTTGTCTAATCGTGCTAAGCTAACAGAAAGATCTGGGACAAGCAAGTACCACAAGAAATGCCTTGTATTCCTGTTGCCTGCGTAGCACAGTAGGGTACGATGCATTGTGATTACCGTCATTTGTACCTAGAGACGCCGAAATTGATAATCAGGCTCTTCTTCGGATGACTCTATTGTTAATTTACATATCAGGGGAAAATATCTAGATGTTCTGAACAATCTCAATGAAACTTACATTATATACAGTATAGCTCCTATTCTCTATCCTAGCTTGTATCATCCCCTGATTAAGGACCCACATACAAAGGTTTGCCCTGCTCGTATCCCAACGGTAGTGTACCGTATTCTAGCCAACTAACGGTAAGCCAAACGTAAAACAAGGCAGCTGACAAGAACTTTGACTTTTGCATAAAATACAATGGCAAAAGACACAAGTCGCTGTATAACCCACCCCCCTTCCAACCCCGCAAATGAGGTAGTACGAAATCCCAATGCTATTCGTCGAGTAGGTGGACTTGTTCAGGTTCCTGGCTAAATGAGAACGGTGAACTAGACCACGCGATGATCACGCAAGGAAAACAAGTGCCGGCATATGCGATTTGTAGATCAAGGTCCCCATCAGCCACCCTTTCGTAATGAGCCAAGATGATGATCATCCCCACGTGAGATCTGGATCGATCTGGCGTTTCGCCACGACCCTGGCTAATACACCTTTCCGATACAGTGTGAGTGTCTTGGCAAGGCCATCCATCCTCAGCGGGGTCACCTCTCAAACAATCAACTTTGCACATCTTCTTTTACTGTCTTTTTCGTATTGGCAGTCTTGGGCTTACCCATCTCTATTATTGAGTCGGGGCTTCGCTGACGTTACAATGATAGATGTAGGGGCACGAACCCTGGTAAACAATGAATGGCTGCATTAATGCCACCAATGGTTATTTTAGCTTCGACAACTGGACCCTTACTCACCGGGCAATGGCAGGGTAGGGGTTACGTTTTGTTTCACGTACATTACCAATCTTTTCTCCGGGGAACCGGTACATGGAAAATCATCCAAGGGCCTCAATGTACAACATCCTGTCAAGGGTACATGAAACGCGATCGCGGGGTATGCGTCGCGTATCGGTAATGCGTCGTGTTATTTGACGCTTAAGGACGCAGTGGTTGGCTGCTTCTGGGAGGGGGAAAGGGAGTTCTAGAGCAAGGTCTAACATTGTGTGTTTGGCTCACCAGTCACAATGGTTTGTGTTTATCCATTTTCCTAGCTCTAAGCGTCGTCCGAGCCGCGGAAGATGTTGGATGTTCCAATACGGAAGAACTAGAGTTTGCTTCGGGTGGAAAGCGCCGTGCCGTGCGGGTGCTAAGTATGAATGGGTGTTGTTGCTGTAAAGGCAATTCGCCTCCCGTCGTCTGTCAGTTGATTGTGACGTGGTACGACTAGATCCCCCAGCATGACTTGATATTTGTGAGCAAGGCCCGTGTGGACAATCCTGAACTCACTTTACATTAGCTTTCACCTTTCGTATTATTAGCCGTTACGCCGTCCTAGTATATTCTGGACGGAAGAGTAACACGTTGTTTTAATATATACCCCTCCACTCACACCTGGAGCCAGATCAAGTATGCCGGCCACACATCTGAATCCTAATGGCAGTGGCTCCAGCGGCGTTCTTCCTCCGCTCGAAGTGCTGGCAAAATGGCCAACGCCCAACTACGATGATCCGATCACCCGGCCGAAAGTCGTGCCCGCTCTGGCTGGTGTTTTTGGAACAATCATGATTATCATTGTAGCAGCGAGAACTTGGGCTCGATTCTTTATACGGAAAAATGGTGGACTGGACGATTGGATAATACTGCTTGCAATGGTATGGAAGTGAAAACCCCTTATCTCCCTGTCTATAGTCCGTCTACTAATTGCTGACATTTCGATCTGCCGTACAGATTCCGACAATCGGGTTCACGGTAGTGGTATGTCTAGGTATGCAACCCCAAGAGAGAAAAAACGCAAGAAAAAGAAAAGGCGAGAGAGAAAAGAGGAGTCTTTTCCAATGCTAGCATGTAACTAACATCAAAGCGATAGCAACCGAAGTCTACGGCTTTGACCGTCACATGTGGGACGTAACACCCAACCTCTACATTCCGGAACGTAAAATCGTCTTCGCAGTCTACCTCCTCTACATCATCGCGAGCGGACTAATCAAAATCTCCATCCTCCTCTTCTACCGCCGCCTCGACGCACGCTGCATCCCCAGCACCTTCCGCATCGTCACCTGGATCAGCATCACCATAATCGCTGTCTTCATCACCGCCTTCACCGTCATTCTCTTCACGGCGTGCAACCCGCTCGCATCATTCTGGTACCAATTCGATATAGCCCGCCAGATCTCCGGCTACAAGTACCACTGCTGGGTCAACGAAGAAGCAGACATAATGGCCGCCAGCATCGTTTCCGCAGTGCAAGACGCAATCGCCGCTTGCCTCCCCACGCTACTCTACTGGAACTTACAGATCCCCAAGCGCCAGAAGATCACCTTGGGAACACTATTCGCGTCGGGCTACGTAGTCTGCATCGTCTGCATCGCCCGCGTCTTCGCCATCCACACAATCTTCAACAACGAACTGTACGACTCCTCGTGGACCACCTGGCCCGCGCTCCTCCTCGCCGTCCTCGAAATCCAACTCGGCGTCATTGTCTCGTCGGCACCGGCCCTCAGAGTCTTTGCCAAACATTATTTCTCGGGCACCTCGGTGCGGGGCAGTGCCCCGCAGAGGTTTCCGTACGAACCGGCCAGAGGGACGGATGGGAGTGTGCGCCAGGGTGAGTTTAGGAAGCAGAGTGATGCAGCAAAGTCGGCGTCGACAATGTCGAGGGGGAGGGGGGGACCCGAGGAGGATGAGGAGGAGGGAGATGTCGCGTTGCTGGAGTTACGGAGGGCGGAAACGAGAATTGTAGGGATAGTCTAGTAGTATCCCGCTCTTTCTTGCCTTTTGGAAACCTTTTTTTTCCACTCCTTTATGCATCGAAAAAAAAGTTGGCTTCACGACCTCTTTGCCCACGGCCGCTCAGCCCTTTCTCATCCTTTTTTTTGTTTTTACATATATGTAATATCCTTTTCTTTTCTCCCACTGTATTATCTCTCCCTCTCTCTCTCTCTCGCTTTTACAGGTTCGATTCGATTCGTTCGTTTTTGTTGAGCGTCAAGCGCTAGATACATGACTTGCTACCTTTCGTTAGCTCGAGGAATACGAGATATCTCCTTAACAAGGGGAGGGGGGACTGTAGCGTGCACCCAAAAAGAGAAAAAAAAAAGTCGCAGATCGACTTCTCAGGCAAACATCATACCACTACCTCTCACATACATTACAAATTCCTCAAGCTCACAATATTGAAAAAAAAGAAAGTTTTCCAAAAAAAAGAACGAATGGGTATCATATTCCAATTATTCCAATCCACAAACAATAACAACAATAAGCCTACAATTTACTCTCCCTAACCCTCCTCTCCTCCTCAACCGGTAGTGCCCCACTCATCCACCCAACCCCTTCCTCCCGTCCATACAACACCCTCTCCCTGCCTCCCATCGTACTCCACCAATTCACCGCTACAACACTGCGCTCGGGATCCATCTCCCCACTGACGAGTACCTCCCAGAACCTTCGCTTCCCCACCTCACGCATCTCATCGTCGTGGATCTGATTCAGCAGCTCCGCGCACAAGGGCAGCCATTCATCCAGCAGGGCAATAGGGAGATACGGGAGAGCGTCGATGAGGGTGAGCGCGAGAACGGCTTGTTCGGACAGTAGTGGGGGCGGGGCGTCGGAGTCTTGTAGGGCGAGTGCTACGGCGTCTGGAGGAAGAGGGATCGTAGGCGCGTTGAGAGCGCGGTGATAGACGATTTCCAACAGGGTAGCTGGGAGGTCTGGGTGCGTTGCTGATAAAGGGGATGGGGGCGCGGTAACGCGCATGAGGGTTTTGAAAGCAAGGCGGAATTGGCGCGGGGAAAGATTGTTGGGGAAGACGCGGAAGAGGGCGTCGATGTAGAAGGGGAGGTGCTTTGCGGTTAGGTTTGCGGATTGAGGGGCGGAGAGCACGGCGAGCATGACGCTGTGCGCAGCTTCGAAGATGGGGAGCATGTTGCGGTTTTCGGCTGCGGCGAGGTAGGGGACTGCGGATGCGACGAGGAGGTCTTCGTTGGTGGAAGGGGAGAGGACGAGGGTAAAGTGCTCGGCTGTGTTGAGGAAGTAGAGGTCGAGGATGCGGTCCAGGGGGTGGCTGGGGATCTGGCCGAGATGTTGGGAGGCGATTGTTTTGAGGAATTTGTCGGCGTGGTTGGGATAGGCAGCGAGTATGTCGATGGCAGTGAGGTAGACGAAGGTGTGTTGGGAGAAGGATGCTGGGCCTAGCCGCGATGTGATGAAGTAGAGATGGCGTAGCGTTTGCAAGGCTTGCGCAGCGAGCAATGGGGCAACGGCATCAGTAGCAAGTGCCCTGTCAGCCAGTGTTCGTTTGAAGACACCGCGAAGGATGATGGTCGTGGCGAACAAGGAGGCCTTGAGAAGGTTCCACAGCTGTGGTGTGGTCTTGTGAAGCGCTTCCTCTTCCAGGTTGGCTGCCTCTTCGGCGGGCTCAATATCAGAAAACTTGTTCTGCCGCCATTGCGTCGTGAGGGCACGAGAAAAACTTGCCAGATCGTCCATCATAGTTTGGATAATCCAGGGGTTCTTGACATTCTCAACTGCATGCGCAATCAGACGCGATAGAGGTCCCATTGAGGCTACAAGCGGCCTATTCATGATGACCTCGACCTGTCTAAAGGAACTGGAGTGTGGCTATGTATGGTCAGCGCAAGATCCTCAACTCATCTGCTATAAACTTACACTCCAATCCAGCTTTCCTGACTGTGTCGTCCGCACATCCAGATCCAAGCCACCAAGGAAGTATGCCGACTGAAACCCTTCATTGGAATAAAACGCCGTTCCAATGAGGACAGGAAGCAGCAAATCATAATTAAACAGCGTTCTTTCCACGTCTCCAATGCATCCGAAGGCGTGATTAAGAACCAATGTTATCGTATGGCCTCCCAATCCATCAGCCTCAGAGCGTTCCCTAACCTCAACCAGGGCCAGATTCGTCGCCCGCACAAGCGCGGCTTCTACCCTTTTGCGCATAGCGGATGCCCAGTATAAATCCATTCCCTGCTCTTCGAGATTGCCAATGCCAATCAACAGGCCTCCTAGCACAACCAGGTGCTTCCATCGTCGGCTCCGGTCGTCCGCGCCCGCAACCACGGCGCGCACCCATTCATCGAGTGATAGGCCCCCTCCTGTGGGAACCTGGCCAGGCGTAAGTTTGGGTGCCTTGTTAAAGCGCACATCGTTGTGATGATTAATGATTGTCGTGATAGCCGAGTGGAAGACGGAGAGCATGCGCAGGGGCGTCCGCACGCCATCGGGACGGTCCCATAGCGCGGGGGCCGTAAGCAGATGCGAAGTCAAAAGACTAAGGTTGTGCGGGTTCCCGAGGGTAGTGAGCAGTGAAGACGCGGTTCCAAGGAGGCTACTTTACAGTCAGTATATGCGCGGGTGCGTTCACATGGGGGAACTCGAGATGCATGCATACCGCGGCGTGTCCTGCTGATCCGTATATGTCTGCAGCGAGCGCAGCAGTGTCGACAAGAGGCGATCGACAGGCATGATTGGGGATTCGAGGTAGCCCGTGGAAGGCTACGGCAGCTGGCGCATTCGAAGACTTGTTCGTGGCGTCGTCGGGAATGCGATGATGATGGGCTTCGGGTGTTGACTGTTGCGCTCACGCGCGTCGAGCCGAGGTTGCGAGCTCGGGCCCCAGCCCGCCGTCAACATTCATTTACTATGTGCGTAGGTCGACGTCACAAGTATGGGGGATAGTTGGTTGGACGCGGATGTGTAACCAAACACTGGGTACTATATACTAACGGCTATCGAACTGCACAACCAGTCACGTGCGCCAAACGACCCAGAAAAGCCATAACCAAACCATGTTGTTGCCCGAATGAGGCGAGTCTAAACCTGAACCCCTACCCACGTCAATTAATTACTTGTTTCGGCCCCTGTCCTCGAAGTTCCCCAACATGACTACTCGTCGACAACATGATAGTTAACGAGTTCTTTCCCAGCTTCATCCAGCGCGTCAACTCGGCTGTTCCGCAGGGCTACACCACACCTCCCTTTCCCTCGCTCTACTGGCCGCTGCCTGCCGGCGCACACCCATCTTTCTACCTCTATCGCCCGGACGACGTCTTGCGCTTCACAGTATACTGGAGCCTGCTTCTTGTCGGCGGCATACACCTGGTTGTAGCATTATGGGCGTGCGGAGTACAATGGCGCAACTGGAAACTGATATGGATTACTGTGCCCTTCTTCACTGTGGTCGGGGGCATTGAAGCGCTAGTCTCGGGCGCGATTGTCGGCGGACTGTGAGTAACCACTTTGTTCATGAGCGAGGTAGAGAGCGCGTGCTGACTGGGGATTTAGTATTGGAGGCGTCTATCAAGCTGGATATTTCGAAATGTCTACCTGGATACCTTTTGTATGGGCCGTTATCAACACGTTGGTACTCATTCTGTCTTCCTTCGCTATCTATGGTGGCCTCTGATGCGCCGACGCGACTGGAATATGCATAAACGCGTCCACACCATCCTCTGCTGGTAGCTCTCATAGCGCCGATTAAGACATACGACCCCTGCCTGGGCTCGTGGGTGTGCTGAAAGCAACAACAGCGTCTTGATAACGTTTCGGATATACTCGAAGAATCGCCTAACAACAGGCGTAAGATCAGCATTCAACGACCCGTCCCCAGCCCCCACACAGATTTGGATTCCCACGTGGTATCAAAGCCAGCCGCGGAACCAGACCAGTGGGGCGCAGCTGCAGTCGGAGCCGCAAAGCACGCTGCACGCATTTTGCCATAGGCTTACCGAGGGACACGAGAAGTTGCGTGGACTGAAGCGGAGGACGGAATGACTACCCGTAGTTCCATTGGGATGCCGAGTATATGAACATAGGCTTTGAGGATATTATTCCAAGAGTAAAAAGGAAGGGCTTGAATCGTAGATCATATATTATCTCGAGTCCATCCTAACTAGATTTACTAAGCTTACGCTTGAATATTCAATCCAACATCACAAGCCAAAAGCTATGCAATAGCTTTCAACATGAACACACGCCCTTTATCCTGCATGAATCTTAAATCTTTGCTTCACCTGCTTCCTACACATGGGACACTTTGTCGGACGCGCCGGTATATGTCCATGTCTAACCGGCACCACGACGTCCGCACACCACTGACACATGACCATGTGACCGCATGGTAACACAGCTATATCCGCTAGCTGCTGGTAACATACCTGACACGCCAGCACCTTTGTCATTTCCTCCTCAGACTTTGGCGGCGGCCGGTCTGGTTGGTTGTCCAGCGAGACAAGTGGGGGTGAGGGTGGTCGAGCAGCGCGCATACGGGCGAGTTCCTGTTCGAAATCCAGACGGATATTGTGCATTTCTGCCAGCGGCTGTGTAGTTACTCCAGCTATACCAGACAACTGCGGACGAATCTGCGACCACCAACCTGTTGCTATGGGAGCAGCTGAGCTGGATTCGCCGTTGGGGTTTGCGAATATGGCGCGGATGCGTGCTTCGTCTTCTGCTTGGCTTTGACGGTATGCGACTACGAGCCTCCGTGCTGCTTCTGTGCCTTCTGCCCCGCTGTTCTCGAAATATGCCATGCGCTCGGCGGAGACATCGATTTCGCCGCTATTGCGCAGCCAGCGGACTTCGGTCACAGCGGCATCTTCGCCGTCTGCGCCTCTTCGTCGCGGGGCGTAGCTCCACACTTCAGTTGCTGGCTCCAGACTCTCAGAAATGGATTGCGATTCCCGCATTACGCCCCGAAGTAGTTGTTCTTCAATTTCACGGCGATCTTGCGGTGATAAGTTATCGAGTTGGGGCGCAACTTCTGTTCCCTCTGCTCTTCTCTGTTCGGCCTGGCGATGGCGGTCGTACGCTCGTGTGTACATTTGCGTAAGTGGTGACTCGTAGTCATCTTGCTCTAGTTCTTCACGGGACCCGAATACACGAGCAAAACGTTCTCTCGCGAGCTGCATTTGTGCTTCTCGTCGCGTCATTGGTCGTGGCGGTTCGGAGGGGTTCTCTTGAATCTGAGGGGTCACCAACGCTTGGGGCTCTGTAGGAACAGTTGCGTTGGCATTCGGGGTCTCTTCAGCCTCTCGAAGCAGGTCGTCCAGCGCGTCCTCTAGACTCTGCTGCGGTTCCTCCGGCCGTTCTTCCTCTGATGTCAGCCTTCGCCTTCTAAGCCTATTCTCTGGCCTTAATGCATTGTTCTCCACGCCAGCCCGCAGCTGATCTAATGTTCGGGGTAGGAAACCAGGGCTGACTTCATGAAAAGGCTCTCCTATAACAGCGATACGTTGCTCTGTCCCATCAGGAAGCTTTGCGATGCGATATCCCTGATGAAACTCCCACCATCGCTCCAGAAACTCGGTCTGATCCGGTATCTCGGGTATACGTGTTTGCGCAATTTCAAGAGGCGGATCAGTAGCGGCAAGGCGATTGCTCCAGAACTCTAGGTGGGGGTTAGCTGACTACGACATTGTCTGGATACACTGTCATCGTTCATACCTTTACAGAACCAGCAGTAGCCTTGCCACCTTGTGCCGCGATTCACAAAACCAACTCCATCAATGTACACTCGGTATGTTCTTGAGTGAACGCGCTCATCGGCGCAAGCACAGCAATTGGGCGTGGAAGTCAGCCTACAGCTAGTGGCAAGCTTGTGTGGGCAATGAATGTCGAGGCGTGGGCAATCTGCGGTCAAAGTGCCCATAATGAGTGAGATGAGAGCGTAGGAAGCGAAAAAAAGGGTGAATGTTACAAGATGATTGAGTAATGACTGGGGAGGTCTGGGGGGATGACCAAAGGGTAAACAGTTTCGTGACGTTGGGCGGGTGGCGGACGCGCAGGTGCAGTTGTCGTCGGCTCGGCTGCTTGCCCTTGGGAACCCTGCATAAACCATGGCGGGGCGACGCGTGGGTCGGTGGGGAAAGTGGAGCGTGCCGTTACCGTGACTCCATGCCATTGCACATCCCTACCACTTGGCCCAACGGCCCGTCACCACACCTGTCAGACCCCTGCGATATAATCAACGCCTTTGTTGGAAGTGAATAAAGCAAAAGTGTGTTTCGGCCGATTCACCACTCAATTTCAAACACTCGAGGTGCATCAATGAAAATCACTTCCCTGTGTAACGTGACTTGAGGTATAAGAAGGCTCTGGAGCCTTGCACTGGTCCTCGATCCCACTACATACATACCTCCCTCCAAACACATACCACAACCAAAATGCGCGTAGAGATCCATAACCCAAACGAGAGGCCCTCAACCAGGTCACCAGCCGCACTGACTCTCAGAGAATTCAACGGCAAAACCTTGGACCCTCCCGTCCCAGTCTACCTCCCCTGGAACCTCACAGCCCAAGAGTTCACACAGATCCTCGACAGCCCCAGCGACAAACCAGCTTTCAAGTTTCCCGCACTTCGAAACTGGCTGTTGGGGCTTCTTGGAACTCTGGACGCGCAGAAAGACGAATCGCATCCGTTCCATAGGCAGCCTTATCGCTTGGAAGAGCTTACCATCGAGTCTGTAGACTGGTTTGACAAGAAAAACTATACGCGACTTGGATATATGAAGATTCAGTCTGAGATTAGAAATGGGTCTGGCGACGGCGATTGGATACCTGGATCTGCGTTCTTGCGGGGCGGAAGTGTGGCTATTCTTGTATGTGTTCGAGCCTTTTTTTCCCTTTCCAATTCCCCTATTAGCTTCGAATTATAGTAGGTACTTACACAGCGATCCAGGCCATCGTACAGCCAACAGAAGCTTCAGGCGAAGCCGAAAAGCACGTCATTCTAACTGTCCAGCCTCGCCTGGCAGTTTCCAGCCTGGCTTTTACCGAGATCCCGGCAGGCATGCTGGACGACTCGGGTTCCTTTACCGGAACAGCAGCTCAAGAACTGAAAGAGGAGGCGCACCTCCATGTCAAGATAGAAGAGTTGTTGGATCTGTCTGAGCTTGCTTTGGAACAGGGACAAGCTGATTCCTTGGCTCCAACAGGCCAGCTACGAACGGCAATGTATCCTAGCCCTGGTAAGACCTAATCTATCCCCTTTTACAGAGAAATCAAGCTGACAATGACTTTCTCGCTACAAAGGCGGATGCGACGAGTTCATGAAACTCTACTTATACCAGAAGCGTTTGTCACGTGCGCACATGGAGTGGCTCAAGGACAGAGCGACGGGACTGGAGAATGAAGGTGAAAGGATCAGACTGAAACTAGTTCCTCTAGAGAACTTTTGGAGAGAAGCTGCGCATGATGGCAAGGCACTGTCTGCGTTGGCGTTGTACGAGAATCTTAAGCGACAAGGCAGGATTCCTGATATGCCCGAGGAGCCGGCGGAGGAGCCTAAGATGCAATCTTGTGGTGTACAAGCAAAGGGTTGAGATTTGCGTGATAGTCCTTTGCCTTGATCACCTCGAAGAAATAATAGCGGAGAATAAACGAGTAGGCAATTGTGTTCGTTTTCATTGATGTACATTACATCTCGTCATTTCAGGACTCGATATCCCAAGCAAAGCAAACAAGCAGCCTAATTATCTATCCCAGCCCATAATCATATAATGTGTTCAAAACCAACAACCAGCAAAACCACGCGCCGTATTGGAACCAAGAAAAACAAGATCGGACCCATGCTATCAGAAAATCTAAAAAAAAAACTACAGGTGCTTCCTGCTTTCCTAAATCGCACCTAAGCCCTTCAGATCCTCACACCCCCGTGCTGCAACTTATCTGACCAATCCGGCTGATACTTTGTCTTCATATGTTGCATCAAATCCACCAAGGACGCCGACAACGCCGCAGAACTCGGCCATTTCCACGAGGAAAGCTCAAGCACCAGCAGCGCATTCGAGTAGAGTTGGATCAAATTACCTCCGAATATGGATGGCATGTTTTGTATCAGTACCGTGCCCGCATAGTGAACCCAGTATGGAGTCATGAAGATGTGGATGCTGCCGCAGCTTACTACTGCTTCTCTGTGTAGGGATTAGCTTGGGAGAATGGAGTAGAAGAAGTGTGTGTATTTTTTTGTAGAAAAGGGACCTACAAGACATGCCATGCGCTTCCCCAGCAGGGGTTCAGCAGGAGATGGGTCGCGTGCAGTGAGATGCGCAAGACAGGTATTAACTCATCTTTTTCATCAAAAAGCGGGAGTAACTTTTTTACGCTTTCCTTGGCTGTGAGATCGCCCTTTCGAAACCGGTTCTGCATGCGATATAGGGAGCATAGATACTCGGAGGGCTTGTTCTTGTCGAAGCAGAGTTCGGATTCCTGTGGCTAACGTGAGCTGTGCGGGGAAAAGCGGGCGAGAATTAGGATGTGTTAAACATACGGGCTCTGGGAATAAGGCGGGACGATCGAGGGTTGAGGCGAGTTGGTTTTCGAGACAGAAAATTGTCATATGCATGGCTCGTAACATTTCAATATCGTTGGGTTCAAGTTCTTGTAGGGCGCGCTTGGATTCGAGGTCGAATGCTAGACGCCCGGCGAGAGCGACCTGCTGCCCGATATTACCAGTCAACGGATCAAACAAGCTGTTAATGGCAAGGAGTAAGACGGAGCGGAGTGTGTCAATGTTAGTTTCTAAGGTTGCTAGTTCCAGGTGTTCCATGGCGTCGGCAAAGTATTGAGTCGCCAACGAACGATATCTGATTGAGTTGGCTTGGTGATAGGCAAGCCTGCCTGTAGGGCTCCAGCCTTGGTTATGTGAATGCTTTTTGCCCGTGTTGGGAAGAATGTAGCATGTGATAGAATAAATCATGTACAAAGAGAATAGCTCGGTCGAATTGAGATCGGTGGGTAGTTCGGGCTGGAGGTAACGCAGTGATGGGTCCAGAATAGGATAGAGAGGCTGTACAGTCTCAAGATACAATTGCTTGAGCTCATGTTGCTTTTCGGAAGAGTCCTTGTTCATGCATTGCCAGTCATCGAGTTCGTCGTCAGCCCGCTCGCCGCGTATGTCTTGTGTTGCGTGCAATCTGGGCAACTTGACTAGGCACGAATCTGCACCCAGATAGCGATAGCTGTTTCCAGCCTCTGCAAAATGGTGCTCGTACTGTGCAACGTCTGGCGCAAAGGCGTCGTGCTTGACATTTACACCGAATGCGTTGTGAATCCCAGGATCAGTCGAGGCTGTTGGCGAGGGAAGCTCGCTGGATAATCGGCGCAAACGATCCACCAGTCCACTGATATAACTGGGGGTTCGGTTAGCCAGAGTCAGGAAGATGCGCACGTACGTTTACCTTCGCGGCAGCAATTCGTTGCGTCCGTGATCGTAGAACATGCACTCGACTCCGGCTTTTGTGCATTGCCTGTGGCGGTGAGCGGAAAAGGCGTGTCAGGTAGGACGGCGGAACGGTGTACCTGCACTTTGGCAAGAGTGTATCACAGCCGCGGCGACACTCTCGGCACCTCTTGCATGCGGGCAGACTCTGGGGAAGTTGAGTGCACGATCCTCAAGTGCGGAGGCGTCTGGGGTTACCTGAATCAGCGCCTCCAGATCCAATGTTGGGGGACTGGCGCTGGCTGTGGTTGCCATCAGGGCCAATATGTAAGGGCACTGGAGGGGTGAATACCGATGGCTGGCAGTACATGGGGTTCGAGCTGGGATTCATTACTCAGATCCAACCCTGCCGCCAGAAGGGATGATCTGGAACGCAAAGGGCATGTCTGGGAGGGGCGGGGAGACGGGGAGGCGGGCGATGAGTGCTAGCGAGGAACAGGTGTATCTGGTAAGTCTAGCCCAAACCGGCAGGGATAGGCGGAGGCTGCATCATCCCGCGTGCCCTCAGCTGCTAGCATCTTGTCCTGCGACCACGAAGACCACCGTGATAAACCGTCGCCTCCTTTTCCTCTTTTTCTCAGCGCAATGAAATCCACATCGCTGTGGTACAGACGCCTGCTGCTCGTTACCGACTACCATGCAGAGCCGCACGAAGGTCCGTCGCCGTGTGCTGGCGTGTGCCCGCTGCCGCAAACGCAAACTATCAGTATACACGACACTTCTCCTGATTCTTGTGCCTGTTTACTAACAGCGGCTAGTGTGACGGCAAAGTACCCGCCTGTTCGCGCTGCGTCGGCGCGGGAGTACAGTGTGTTGGATTCGACTCGTCGACCCAGCAGGAGGCTCCGCGGTCCATCGCCGATTTCTTGGAAGCCCACATTGCCAGGCTGGAGAACCCCTGTGCTCAATCAACTTCAGCCTCTTTGGCCCAGCCCGCCGCTGCCATGCCCTCGCCTGCAGACTCGAACTTCTCTGACGCAAAGACCACGCAGTGGCGTTCAGACAAATGTGCTTTTGCTGACAGCCTAGTCAACCAAGTTATGGAAGACATGACGCCGTCCTTTCTCGGTGTCTGCAAGGCCCGGCCCTTCCTGCAGTGCGTCATCAAGGGTACGCGGCTACCGTCCAAGAAGGGTCCTGTCCTGTCCAATGATCTCAACGAGAACCACCCAAGGTCCATATTGAACCCGCAACAAACCAAGGGCCTTTTCTATGATCTCATGCCCGATGAGGTTGGTGCAAATAAGCTTTTGCGGAACTATCTCGATCGAGTCATTACGCAGTACCCGATCTACCATCGCAACGATGTGGCCAAAGCCTTCAAATCCGTCTACCACAAGAGTTCTCCAGCCTCAGACGCAGGCGAGGACTCTTTTCGCAACCGCTACATAGTCTGCATAATAATGGCCATATCCCTGACCACTAGTGCACGGAACAATGTACGCAAAGCAAACGACCTCGCCTATCAGCTTGTTCGGCACGCCATGCAGTGGATCCCTGAAGTCGCGACCAACGACATTCCCGGACTGCAAGCCATTCTGCTTTTGTCTCAGTACATTTTCTTGAATCCCAAGATGGCAGACTTGTGGCTTCTGACAGGCCTGATTAGCCAAGCAGTCATTGACCTTGGTCTTCATCAGGAACTACCAAATGACGCCAAGATCACTGCTTATGAGCGCGACATGCGACGTCGGATATTTTGGTGTGCGTGGGAAATGGAGGTTGGCGTATGCTGCATCTTTCTACGACCCGCAAGTTTGCCTATCAGACAGATCGAAGTCGCCTTCCCGTTGGAACTTGACGACACCGCCATCACTCAAACTAGCATATTGCCTACTGGGCGCATATCGAAATTCACACAACGCATCATTTGCCGGTTTCGCCTAATCGAAGCGGACATCATCTCAGTCTTGTGGCATGGCGATCCTGTTTCCGACGAATTCACGTCTCTGGAGCAGTGGATTCAGCAATGTGTCGTGAACATAACGAATTGGCAAAAAGAAATATACGCCGCAGCAAACGCCAACACAGACCAAAGCCTAAATGCACGGTGGACTGAGATGTGCTTGTACTCGGACATTGCAAGTCCGTACATCTTGTCACTTTTGAATCGCACCTCACGCCGAATACCCAACCCGAGCAAGGAGCAAATGATGATTGCATTAGTGAATGCTGTCAAAGTTGCCGACGGCTACTTTCAGCAATCCGAAGCAGAAGCTGGCAAGATCAAATACGTCTTCCATCCTTGTCACCATGTTTTCAATTGCGCCCTTATATTCCTCCAAGGCCTGCAGCGTTGCAAACGAGACATAGCACGTCACTATTCATGGCAACAAGTGCAAGATTGGATGCATGTCTTTTCCAAATGCTTCTTATCCATCTCTGAACGATGGTCAGCTGCGAGAAGATGCTATGAAGAATACGAGCGATTGCTGTTACCAGTAAAAACAGAGTACCTGGAGTATCTGGAACATAAAGCCAGTCTTCATCCACCGTCATTTCATAAGGCTAGATCAGATACGAGCAGTGTGGGAGAATACCAGATGCCACCTTCTGTACTCACTGAAGTCGATGAAGCTTATCAGTTTTGGACAATTTTCAATCCTACTACTTCGAAAGTCGATGGCACGGATCCGGTTGGAACTTATCCGTATATCAACCTACCACCTCAAGATTGGAATGCGGAGTTTTCATTGAATGTGAACGATAATGCGGATATGATATTAGAGGCATCATGAAGACATGGCAGATTTTGATCATCACTTCCAACGTCACCGGTTTTTGGGTCTCTGGATCCATGACTTGACCATTTCAATGCAGAACACTGCCTGTTCGGTGTTAGCGATGCTGCATGTCTCTTCATAACCACTACGATTCCGCCAGAGACTGGGCAGATGGATATTTATGGAAATCGGCTCCTTCCATACACGGAGTATCGTTGGCCCAATTGTTGGTGTAAGCCTGGCAGAATAATCACGCACGTTGCGCATCTCCGGCCCCTGACATCACCTCCTGGCTTGATTTCTGCCAAGCCAGATCCCCAGTGAGCTTTGATCATCATTAGCGATGGGCATTCCCGCACAATTAACAGACCTTGGCTTTCTAATCACCAAATCCCCGCCTAGAACCGCTTCGCGGGATACATTCTAGCGTATGCTTGGAAGTGTTCGGATGAAACCTTATGTATTTGGAGTTGAAAGGCAGTCTTCTGCAAGGGAGAATATGGTGCAGTATTGCCCGCCGATATAACGTCACAGATTTTTCGTCGCAAACTCTTTTAAGGCCATGATGCGGGGGTCCAGTGAAACATGAAGCCTATATCTCCTTTTCATAACGACGCAAGATATGTAATATTTTCCTATGTCAAAATTCCAGATTGATCGTCTCCTCTACCTCTATCGGCCTACCAATCCTCACAGCCGCCTTTTTACTCTTCAAATCCATTACAATGTTGAAAAGCGTTCCACTACCAGTCTCCTTTGTCTCGGTCCTGCATATTGAACCTGGTGCATTTTGTTCATCTTCAAACAGCTGGCCCACCTGTTCCCAACCAGCACCATCACCCAAAGCCTTCGCATTTTCAGTCATGGTTTGAAGACGAGTTAACGAATCTTTGAGCCACACTGTATCAGTTTCACCTGGGTGTTCGAGAAGCAGATGGTTCGTATGAATGATTTTTCCAGTGGAGTCTGGCGACAAGCGAGCGAATGTACTCTTTGTAAACTCCAACCCCACTGCTGTGGTTGCGTCGGCTATGAGGATATGAGCTGAAGATGCCATTCCGAAACTTTGTAGGGCCCGGACTGCTTCGTCCGCGGATTTGCTTTCTAAAGCCATGCGTAGGCCGAAGTGAGCGGGCATTCGAGTAGAATTTACACCGTATACCTTTATGGCGTTGAACAAAGTACCCACGCCGGAGCTATTGAAGCCGATCTTTCCAAGGATGCCTGCTTCGGTGACTTGAATTATAGTGGGCTTATTGGGTTGAGCTATCTTGGTGATGATGAGGTTTTGTTTCTGCTCTGTCATCCACTTTTTTATGTCAGCCCGTTTGTCTCGCCCCTAGTTTCTTTTCAAGAGAGGATACTCACATCCCAGTTTTGCGCCAGCCATGCATGGTCACTAGTGTGCCATGAGAGCGCCGTGCATCCATCGCTGAACAACCCAAAGTTGATTTCCGTCCGAACATTCAACGCCACAATGTCTAGTACATCGCGTCCAGAGCCATCAGCGATGCCCTGCATCTCTTGATGAAACATTGGCCATTGCTCTTTAGCTCGCTGTTCAAACGCCAAAGCGTGTTCGAGCACTTGTGGCCATCTTTGCTTGCAATTCTTCAAAAACAGACATGCATAAAACTCAATGCTCCGATTGATCTGTAGTTTTGCAGCTTGGCCATGCTGGTAGCCGATCTATGTATATGCGTTAGCAGGGACAAGTAGGCCGCAGAGTCAAGCATGATGTCACAACTCACCTGGTACGGCGTTCCTTCACACTCAACGAACAACATGGCGTGAAAATCAGCCCAGAACTCCTAGGTTAGAAGCAAATCGACGCAGTCGTCTGCACAATCATACATGAACATTGAGCTGCTGGAGCCATTTACGTCAACTTCGATGCGGGCGCCGCTCTCGGCAATGCTGCCTTTGCCCCGCCTTTTGCGCGCTCAATTCCGTCTGACTTATCGGCTGCGACTATCACGCCTTAACTTCGCTTATCTGGGTATGAATCTGCAGCCCTTTCCACGTAATTGTGCTGCACGAAGACGGATTTGGTGCCTGGGCCGCTGCAAGCTAGTTTTATGTACATGCAATATAGTAGTAGTATCCGCTTTCATAACAAGTTACTGGCATATTTGTGGCTCTATGGATCGCATGCGGTGGAACAGAAGTGGCAGGGTAACACCAATCGACCGGTATGTCGGTGTGTCATGCTTGCTGCTATGCCACCGGCTACAGCGGTTGAAGTGCGTTGGAAAAATGATAAGAAGGAGATTTGGCCCAGGAACGACTTCTACTACAAGATCCCCTTGTGAACCCAATATAGAAATTCATCTCGTCAACATGCCGAAACGAGTGCTGTGCTCATATGGTATCGATATTGATGCAGTTAGTGACAAGTATGGAGCTCTCTAGGACACGGCTGACTGACAGCCTATGCTAGGTAAGCGGATGGTACGTTCACTTCAGATGATACCTAGTCTCTTTGACTAACATCACTTAAGGCTGAACACCAAAAATGGAGACCCAGCCAATCCAACCGATGTATCCCGCGGCGTCTTTGGTGCAACCGTAGGCATTGACCGCTTACTCAAGCTCCTAAACAAGTACCAGATCAAAGCCACTTGGTTCACACCAGCGCACACAGCAGAATCATTTCCAGAACAGATCCGCAAGATAATCGACCAAGGTCACGAGATAGGCCTTCACGGCTACACCCACGAATTCGTCTCGACACTCAGCGAGCAACAGCAACGAGACGTATTAGCAAAAAGCATTCAAGTCCTAACTGACTTTGTTGGTAAAAAGCCCCGAGGGTGGACAGCTCCAGCCTGGAGCACCAGCAAAGAAACCGTAGCTCTCCTTGAAGAATTTGGCATCGTACGATCCCCTCTCTCCCCCCCTCACCTCCCAAACACACACACACACACACACACATATATATATATATATATATATATCTAACTCTCCAACCTTAGGAATACGACCACTCCTTCATGCACCACGACTCCCAACCCTACTACCTCCCCTCCCCACACCTCACCACCTCCACCACCACAAACACCTCCAAACCCGCCTCCGACTGGATGACCCCGATGACGTCCCTGATCCCCTCCTCCGTCGTCGAAATCCCCGCAAACTGGCACTTGGACGACTGGCCGCCCTTCCAGCTCTCGCTTTCCCAAGCGAGCACGCACGGCTACGTCGACACAGCTACTATTGAGCGGCTGTGGAAGGAGCAGTTTGAGTATCTGTACCGTGAATGTGGGGAAGGGGAGTGTTTTGTTTTCCCGATTAGTATTCACCCGCAGGTTAGTGGGAAGCCGCAGGTGCTGCTGCTGCATGAGCGGTTTATTGAGTGGGTTAATGGGCATGAGGGGGTGGAGTGGGTTACGATGGAGCGGGTTGTGGATGAGTTTAAGGCGGGGAGGGTGGGGGGTGCGAGGGTGAAGGGTGGGGTTGGTGTGAGGGCGAAGTTGTGAGGGAGAGCGGTGTTGGCCGAGATGGGGCGGTGGGGGGTGGTGGTGGTGTAGTGTGGAGTGTGAGGCGTTATGGCATCGATGATTTGTCAGGTGAGAAGTTTGAGTAATGTTTTTCTTTACTTTTTCCCGTCTTATTGCGGGGAAGGGCTAGGAATAGATGCCGGGATTTGATGGCGTGGTGTTAGAGGCTGGTGGTGCGATGCATGGAGTGATGTGTGCCGCGCTCCTGCATACCCGGCGTGCATGGTTGCTCCGCTTTGGTGCAGCATGTACGTGGGCCGCGGAGAAGAGCGCTGCATAGGTTGCGGTGAAGTGCGATGGTAGCGCTTGTTTAGTTCAAGGGTGGATTTGACGAAACCGGCATATATTGAATGATGTTCCAGCAGTCAATATGGTGCTTTCTAGGTCTATGAATCTATGGGTTTTTTTGTTCCGAGTTGATGCTAGCCAAAGTGTTAATCCATAGCTCGCATTCATATTCTTCTGATGCTGGACTAATTTACTTATGCTACCTATTGGTATTTATTTTTGGAAAGGTACTTCAGTCTGACGGTGGAGCAGCAATGTATTTCCTGATTTTCGTCTCTGACTGAATATCTTATTTCGTAAAGCGTCACTGTAACAGCAACGGTCGTCTACAATGTGAATTTTGCCTGATTTCACTGGACTAGAATTTTTTTTAGAGTTATCTTAGAGCGGATATGACAATACGGGTCAGAAGCGAGGAAGATATACGTTATTGAAGCAATGCTGATGTGGAACTCCTGATATGCTGACATTCTTCAGTCGTTAAGCGATCCCATGTCTTTTTAACATCACCACTCTACCTCGCCGTCGTCCCATTTTCCAATTAGCAATTAATATATTACACTCCAAATAATTGGATATACAGTTCAAGGCCCCTCTACCAACCCAACCACCCAATCCTTTCGTCCATAACAGCCTCTACTCAAACCACAGCCAACAATACCCACCTCAAAGACAATAAGGACCAATAGGACTTGACCGATCGTTATAGCACATCTGATTACAGCACTTACCCGGGTCCATCATATCGCAAGGTTGGCCGACCGCAGCACACACAGGCGGCCGACTCTCGACGCAAGCAGTTGCGGTTGTAGTAACACTAACCGTCTATCATTCACCGTCAGCACTTCCTCTCCCACATTTACCGTATGAAAAAAAAAGATTAAAAAAGAAAAGAAGACTTACCGGTACAGGCGCAAACGTCGTAACAGTAGTAGTGATAGGAGTAGGAGGAGACTTTGGTTTCGTGCAGAGACAGCGACACGCATCTGCGATCTTTGCAGCCGGAAAACGCACGATTTGGAAGGGGATGTTTGTGCGTTTGTCGACCTTGACGTGGGTGTCTTTGTCGAAGGTTTCGACTTGGAAGTGCTTGAGTGCGGCGCGCTTTTGTTCGCCGCACTGAGTGCGTGTTACTGTGACTACTGCGGTGCTAGTGGTTATCCTGGGAAATTGTCAGTAACTGTTGTGAATGAAGTGCGTATACGCGTCGGCTCCAGGTGGATTTACACGGCGGTGGGTGTGATTGTCGCTGTTACCGTGCTCGTTGTTGGTGGGTTGATGTATTCGCGGCAGAAGTTTGCGCCTGGTGCGCCGAGTTTCTTCAGAGCGTTTACAATCTCGTTGTTTTTTGTGCAAGAAGCGGCTTGTTGGGCTACTGCTGTTGGTTCTGGGACGGCGACTCCTAGTACGCTGGTTGCGGCTATGAGGATGAGCTTGAGGGCGAGCATGATGGAGGTCTTCTAGGTGGTCTTGGAGAGGACTGCTTGTTCGCTAAGCACATGGCCGAGCTTGTTATATTTATGTTATGTTGTTAAGTGGTGCAAATTAGACACGATTCAGAGGGCGCGGCTAAGAGGTATTTACTGTCTAGCTCTCTCATATTCTTATGGCGCTTGTTGTCGTGACATGTTGGTGTTCTAATGCGGTCCTCAAGACCCGTTAGCGTGCAGCCTCGCGAAGCCTCTAGTAGATAACTAGGCGGGTCGCAACACAACATAATTACATACTTTGAGGTCAACCTCAGATCGGTATGTGCTACTTCTCCGTTAGTACCATAGGAATTCTAGAATACGATGGCTCTTTAGCCCCTGAAAAGGAAACTCTATTCGCTTGTTTGTGCTCAATCCGGCCAGTAGACCTTCGGACTAGCCGATGTGGCGCAATAATGGACGAGTCTCGCCAGGCACCAGGGGGTTACCAACTGAAATAGTGCTTGTCCCTGCAAAGAAACATAAAAGGGTGGCGTTGAATTTTTATTGTCTTGCAGTTCGGCACTTGCGAAGGAAATCTGAAGGAAATGATTCTAACTTGACCCCTAGGGTAGTCTCCATTCACGCCTAATCTATTGTTAAATCTACAATACTTCTGTGATCACACTTTCGGTATCCGATAGTTGCCATGAGCTCAGAGGTTAGTGGAAAAGGTAGCGCACGCGGACCAGATCATTGTCATCGATTCCTTTATTCCCAACACGCTGCACTCGATGAAGCACAGACAGCCGCAGCACATTGGCAAGTATTGGTAGCGACGCGGTTCACGGCTTATCAACAATAGGCTTGAATCTGGTGAAAAGTAGAGGAGGTAGGAACCGTTAGTAATTTGGTGCAAACGATAGGCAGGTTATAGCACGTATAAGAATTTAGACCATCGATTACCTTTTTAATTAGACAGCATCAGCACATGAGAGGACTTTATCAAATTCCTATCTTCGTTACCAAGAGGCATGAGACGCATTCAAGGACTTTCAAAATTCATTTCTCAACTTCGCCTTGCACTAAAGTCATGTATTTCCTAAACAGTCGTCCGACGCACGGATCACATCCCATAAACCAATCATCTACCATCCCAAGGTAATCAGTCCCGCTCTGCATATATACTACATACATACATACATACACCAACTAACCCCATACCTCAACCAAAAGAAAAAAAATAAACTCAAAAAAATGGATAGTAACAACCAACCCATCAAACCCCCAAAGCCACAATGGCGCAGCCTCACCCCCAGCAATCTCCCAACACTCTCCCACATAGCCGCAACAATCCACCCCGACCTCGCTGAACGCGACGCCGTCTTCCTCGAACGCATAACGTTGTTTCCAAAAGGGTGTCTTGGATTATTCGACGACTCAAATACACTATGGGGCTATTTGGTTTCACATCCCATTCGGTACCAGGAGCCGCCGGAGCTGGATTCCTTGCTTGGAGAAATCACACAGGATGTGGATCAGTATTATATTCATGATTTAGCTATTTTACCTGAGGCTAGAGGGTCTCGTCTTGCGCAAGAGGGGGTGGAAAAGGTATTGGGCACGGCGGCCCAGGCGTACAAAACAAGCGGTTTGGTGTCTGTGTATGGGACGACATCTTTTTGGAGGAAGTTCGGGTTTGAGAAGCCAGATGTTGTTAGTGTAAAGTTGGGTGAGAAGTTGGTTGGTTATGGGGATGGTGCTGTGTATCTTGAACGAAAGAATGGGTGAGAGTGTAGTAGTACGAGTAACGGATTGTGCATGCCACATACTCGATTCGGCGATTACGTCATTGTGGCTTGGAGCAAAAGAAATCATGGCAAGACCAAGATGGAAGGCAAGGTTTGCGTAATGGCTTTTTTGGCCAGACTGGGCAAGTAAGAGACGCCCCGCACTGTACTTCAAGTAATATTAAGAGCAGGGGTGTTTAGATATATGGAGTCCTCAGTCCATGTACTTGGGGAACAGATGGTGTTAGATTGGACATTTATTTATATTGGCTGTCATCTAGATGATCGGAACTTGGAGAGGCTGCTTACGAGCTGGCTAAATTTAGTTAAGCTTAGAATTTGCAGAGAGCCTGCAAAGTGTCCTTGGTGGTCTGCGAGGATTCCTTGACTATGTTGATGAGTGCCTTGAATCTGCGGAGTGTCAGTTGTTTGTGAAAGTCATGCAGAACCATGTGGTCACTCACTCAGGTGTGCCAGCTTCTCCAAACAATTCGTACAAAAAGCTCTCGCTCGTAGTAACGATAGCGCCTTCGTGTCTTAATCTTGCCAGGGCGATTGGAATCTCTTCCTTGTTGCAGCTGCTCACGCCGTCTGCGATGACATATACCTTGTGCTTTCGCCTGAGAAGATCCAGCGTGGTCTGGGTGATGCAGATGTGGCTCTCGATGCCAACCACGATGGCGGACAGCGGGCCGGGGGCGTTGAGAGAGTCGAGGACCCTTTCAACTTCCGGGGTACTAGAGAAATCAGCCTGAATCCCTAGGTCAATGGCATTGAGACATGCATCATGGAGAAGAGAGTTTTGTCAAGATGACAAACAGTCTTGACGCCATCGGGGGCATCCAGCTTCAGCTCTGGACACGTCTCGCCCAACCGTGCACGATTTTGGGTAGTTGCAACGACGGGGATGTTGAGCACCTGGCCTGGGGGAGGGGGGAGGGGTGTTGGTCAGCAGCAAGCGAGCAGGGTCATGGAAACATGCAAGACATACTTGCTCGAAGCAGCTTCTGTGCCGTTGCAATCACCTTGGGAAACTCATAGATGGCGGGGCGGAACTTTTCCTGCAAGTCGCAAATACTGGCAGATTATGAGCGGACATGTGGGTGAGTGTGGGAGTCGGCGGAGTCATACAAGAGGGCGGGGTTCGCTACGGTCCATCAGTCATGTCGGTGCACATGCAAGGTGGTTGCTCAGCCGTCAGTCTATGTATATACCTATGCGCTGCGGGGCCATGGCTGAAGAGGAGAATGTACGAAATGTTTTCAGCGGAGTGAGGGTGGGGCGTAGGTACAGCATGCGTGGGAGGAGCAGAAACGGGGCCTGGTGCGGCGCAGTCATGGTGGCGTGCAGCAGCAGCAGTAGCAGCAGTAGCAGCAGAAGCAGCAGCCGCCATGGCTCGGCTAGAGTACAGCGACATGGACATCGGCTGCGGCTTCCCCTGGGGTTCAACGCGCCTGCCGTTTCTGCCACTGCGACTGCCATTGCCACTGCGGCGGCCGTGCCCCGTGCCACCCCACGCCGCACGCACCTGCCGCCCTTGTGCTTGTGGCCTCTCCCCCTCCCAGAAATATTTCCGGCCATGTGAAACGGGCCCGGATTGCCCGCATATTGAGCCCCAATTTACTGCGTCAAAACATTTTCCCTGAGTCGGCGCGAGCCCTGGCATGACCACACGAGATTGTCCGAGACGGCCTCAGGAGAGGGCCGCTCTTGGCTGCCGGCAGCACGGTGCTGTCCCTGCATCCGTTCGCGCGGTACAGTCGGTCAAAGTGAGATGAGATGAGCGTCAGACGAGGCCAAAAATACTCTTTTTTGCTGTGCGAAGGCCGGTCTGCAGCAGCACATTGCTATCTACTTACATGCCTATGTACGTACAAGGCACAGTGCCAGCCCGTCTGACCTGGCATCCAACACGCCCCCCTACAATCTCACCAGAAGCTGCCATCCCTTGCCATGTACGCAATAAGGGGCTCCAGCGCCGTCCAGCCTGCCGCCGCCGCCCAGCGTGCTACTGCTACTCCTGCTGCTGCTGCTAATACTACTTCTACTACTACCTACTGCTTGGTGCTGATGCTTCCCAGCCAGCAACTGTGAACCCGACTCCGTGCTGCTGGAAGGATAGACGAGAACTACTAGCCTTGGGACATGGCTAGGTCCCGCCTAGTAAGCAGCGATGGGGCTGACGCAGTTGGGTGCTGAGCATGTGTAACGCGCTGAGGGTGCCAGTTGACCTGGTCGATTGCATTACACCTAGACTGAACGACGGTGGCGCTGTGGGCGTGTGCTTTCCCATCTGTCTTGTCTTTGCTCTGTGCTCCGAGCGCGGAGCAGGCTACCCGACGTCGTAGCCATGTCCGTCGTGATTAGTAGCCGTGGTGTTAATCGTTGTCATTGTTGGTGCAGGAAGCCCATGCGGCGGCCGAGTCTTGTCCAGATATCCAGGTACACTGTACATAGGTAGTGCTGCGAAGGTGCATACGCAGAGACTGATACTTTTACTTACACCCACCGCCCCTGCCCCGCAACAACGCAGCCCTCATGTGCTTATTAGATTGGAGCGCAAAGTGCATATAAGTCGGTCGAGAAGGCGCCCCTGTCGCCAGTCACGGTTCTGGTGTAGGTGACGGCACGCGCCCTCCCCAAAGCGCTCTAGACGTAGCCCTGTGCGTTTATCCCCCGTTAGGCCTACGCCCCATGCATTATACGTACTTTGTACTTACATACTGCAAGCAACAGAACCTCGCAGACAGACTGTTGCCCTTTTCTTCTGCACTGCTTCGCTCGCTGTCTGCAGTGCCCATCCTCCCCCACCCACCCACCACCACACCACCTGCGTCTGGCCCGTTGATTAGCGCCTGGCCCGCCCAACCACTCAGCGCCCCCCATTCCCACCACATCGTTCCCACCAGGCCAGCCCGGCAGGGGTTCTCTCCAGCACCAGCACCAGCACCAGCAACTCGCTCACCCGCCCAATTCAAGACGACACTCGCTGCAAAAGCGCCCGCCTCACTCACGCGCTGCCTCGACCTGCTCTGGAAGCACATCCCACCCTTCGTCTCCCCTTGTCTTTTGTCCTCTGCCCTGGCACAGCGAGCAGCGGCAGAAGCCCCTCCCGGAGTACCGCTCGATTTCCCCTACCCATCGGCCACTAAAGTTTATGACCAACCGCCGCCACAACAACCCCCAATATCTTTACATCCACCATCCCCAGCCCATCCACACCGACTCCCGCCCAACAAAGGACCACGCTGCGGCCCTTTACTCGCCCGCCCTCTGCCTGCCGCAGCAACCTCTGCGCTCGCACCTCCAGTACGCCCACCTGCCCCCGTATCTGCTGCTGCACCCCTTCTTGCAGCTTGCGCGCATCGACGAAGTGCATCAATCCCTCTCGCACACGCCCTTTCCAGCCGTAATTGTGTCTCCCCACTCGCTGAGCCCGCCGCCCCAGCGGGACTCAGGCCGCACCCACTCCAAGAAGCCTCCCGTCAAGACGGCACAGGCACCCAAAGATACCACAGATGGGCATAAGGATACAAAGCGCAGCGTGCCCAACTGCACGCCCACGGTGACATCAAACGGTGCTCCAAACATGGCAAGCAAGCGGGAACAGGCAGCTCCGCCGCCTCTCACCGACACACAGACACAGGCACAGGCGCGACCGCAGCGACCGTCCATAGTCTCGCACCACTCGAGCTCAGTCCCCTCTACTCCCTTGCAGGTCGCCCGTAAATACAACACGCCCTCACGCTCGCCCTCGCCCAACGGTGGTCTGGGTGGCCATTCGCCACGCTCCGTCTCCTCCGAAGCAAACGGCGCCATGCCTACCCTTAGGCCCGCTCGTCCCTTCAAATGCAGGTTCGAAACCAATGTTGGCATGCTGGGCCGGAGACGAATGCCTTACCAATCAGACGAGATATTGGACAAGGCCAAAGAGGAGCCCAAGAAGAGCTTGGACCCCCACGAAGACGACAAGTTGAGCGGTGACATGCGCGAGCTGTATGACCGGTTACTGCCCAAGCAGCAGGATAACGATACGCGAGAGCGCTTCGTGAAGAAGGTGCAGCGCATACTGGAAACGGAGTTTCCGGGCACTCAAATGATGGTTCATGTATTTGGGTCCTCGGGCAACATGCTATGGACATCGGAGAGCGATGGTAAGCGCCACGCTTTATACCGAATTCCGCGCTAATCCTGGTAGTTGACATTTGCATCCAAACGCCCATGAAAAGGCTAGAAGAGATGCACCCGCTGGCTGAGGCTCTCGACAAGCGTACGTGAGCAATGTCACTTTTGCTTGGCTGTTACTAACGTTCACAGATGGCATGGAACGTGTCGTGTGTATTCCCGCGGCCAAGGTCCGGATAGTAAAAGTCTGGGATCCCGAGCTGCAGCTCGCCTGCGATATCAACGTGAACAACGTCGCCGCAATCGAGAATACGCGCATGATCAAGACGTACATCCAGCTAGATGACCGCGTACGGCCATTGGCCATGATTATCAAATATTGGACAAAACGCCGTATCCTGAACGATGCTGGTAAGTGCACTGCAACACTCCTTGCTTCTCATTTAACCTTTGGCAGGCATTGGTGGCACAATCAGCTCGTATACGTGGATATGTATGATTCTCAACTTTCTTCAAACACGGGATCCGCCGGTTCTACCCAACCTACATGAGCTCCCTCAGCGAGCGCGAGACGGAGCAACCGGCCAGCCGTCATTGTCAAGTTTCGCCGATGATGTTGGAAAGCTGAGAGGCTTTGGTGAAAATAACAGGGAAAGTCTGGGCCAGTTGCTCTTTCACTTCTTCCGTTTATATGGACATGAGGTAGATTATGAAAAAGAGACAATCTCGGTGCGCCAGGGTAAACGCATACCAAGAGAAGAAAAAGGCTGGCACCCGGGCGGTGGTCAGAAGGAAGGCGTCAACCGCCTTTGTGTAGAGGAGCCCTTTAACATTGACCGAAACCTGGGGAACTCAGCAGATGACTACGCGTGGCGTGGGATACATTTGGAGATACGTCGTGCTTTCGATTTGCTCGCAGACGGCCAGCAGCTCGACAAAGTGTGTGAACAGTTCGAGTACCCCCCTGAAGAAAAGTCCAACGCCATCTTCAAAAAACCGCAGTCACAAAAGGCGATCATCACTTCGAGTGTACCAAGTCGCAATGGCCGAGGTGGTTCCAACTCGCGCGGAGGCAGAGGCGGTTTCAGCCTCAAGGGTCAACACGGAAACAGCAGACGTTCTTCTAACAGCTCGAATTACAGTCAGGGCCGCCCGCCCTTTCTGCACAGTCCACCCATTCCTGCGAGTGCTGGTCCAGAATACTTCAGCTTCCCTCGAGGTATTCACGACCAGCTCCATGATCAGCTATACCAGCAATACCAGATGTTGGAAATGCAGTCAAATTCTTTGCGTGCGCAGTTGGCCGCTCAGCAGCATGCTCAGCAAGCACACCAAGTAAGGGCTGCTCAGATGCATGCCCATGCCGTTGCTCAGGCACAAGCACAAGGAAGAGCACCAAACAGCGCGAGCGGATCACCTCAAAAGTCGCAGTATGTTAATGGGCGTCAAAGCCCTAGGTTGGCTGAGCGTGGAATACCGCCAAACGCTCTCCCTCAGGGATTCCTATACCACTACCCTGGCTTCTACAACCCCTCTCAGGTGGATATCAACGGATCACAGGACGGCTCACGGACAAACCCATCTTCGCCATCTCTGAGCAGCAGCATGCCTGGTGTACATCGAGGTGTTCACCGCGCGTCGAATGCTAGTGAGACAACCTCACTTCGTTCGCATTCGCAGCCACCACGTAACGCTGCTCAGCAGCCTGTCATTGTAGGGTATCCGCCTATGCCCCAGTTCGTTGACCCAAGTATGTTTGCCGGCTACACCATCGCACGGTCTTCGCAAGATCTCTCAACTGCACAAGTCACGTCAGATGTTCCAGTAAATCCAATGGTTGCTCAGCAAGAGTCAGCCCCATCTTCGGATAATGGCTCACCGAAGGACTACGTGGGCTATTCCGTGGCAGAACAGCCGCAGCCACAGCCGCAGCCAACGCCGGTGCGCTCATTACAAGAGTACACTGTGTCGGCAATTCCATCTTTCAGCGAACTGGCCCAGCGCCGCAGACGGGTGTCGCCAGAGATTACCCAGCCTCTTTTGAACACTGCATTGCGGCGGGTAACAAGATCACCTTCTCCATTGGGAGGCCATATGCGAAGTTATTCGAGCGGTGTTGCCCAGCCAAACGACGCCGTGCCTGAGCAGCGCAAGTCGCGCGTTGACTCTGTACGGCCTGCGCCTGTTGATAACGGTCCAGTAATTGTCAATGGCTCGTTTCCCACGCAGTCTCGTCCTAAGGGTGACACATTTGACACCGCTCCACCTGAGGCGCCACCTTCAGCCCCGCTTGCTATGTATCCTGACGACCAGGCCATTCAACAGATTCAACAGCTCCAGGCACGTCAGCAATTAGTACTCCAGGAAATGCAGAGGCAAAAAGTGGTAGAGAACATGGGGCCTCCCATTGTTAATGGATCCACGAATGGGCACCGATCACTGGATTTGAATGGCATGCAGCGCGCACCTGTTGAAAGCCAGCAGCCATTTCCTGCAGTTGGCGATGCCTGGGTAAATTACGAGATACCCAACAGTCACCACGGTGACCGCGTTGAAGACGTATCGCCAACCCGTATGGTTCCTCATCCTCAGTGGGCTGCGCCTGCATACCCCAATGGTCTGCCACCCCTAGAAACAACAAATGTGCAGCGAGCGCATCCCCAGGAGGTCAAATCTGCAACTATTCCTTTGTTGTCACCAGTGTTTGAGACTCGCACGCCCTCTCCAACTGCCACACGTTCTTCCGAACTCACCAAGGTTGTGAATAGCAGCAATGGGCACAAGTCACAGTCAAAATCAAACAATCAGCAGCCACATCGCCGCGGATCAGTTACAGGCGGATCGAACGGCAACGGCAAGGATAACCGCAATGGCCAGCAACAAAAAGCTACTCAAAACCACGAGCGCACAAACAAAGCGAATGCAGGGAGCTCTAGCCCTAGCTCTTGGCAACAACAGGCTCCCCGTAAGAAGGGGAAGAACAAGAAACCAAGGGCGCCAGAGCAGAAAGCCATGGGTGAGCCATTGCCTGCTAATGCTGCTGATCGGAAAGGTGGTTAATACGTTTCCACTTTCATCATTTGAAGAATGCTTTTTGTGCCGGTTGTGAAAGGCCATACTCGGTTGTTTTTCTGGATATCGCGAAAGCAAAACAAGACGTCCACTTTGGTTCGGCAGTCCAGCGTTTTCCTCGGTAACGTCTCTATGCCCAGATCCCGCAAAGCCATTCGCTATTGTCAGGAGATGCTGTCAGCGCCCACGAACTGAACTGCGAAATGTGTAAAGGAAAAGAAGAAAAAAGGAGAAAAAAAAGACTTGCGCCATGGTTCTCCCACGTGGCCTTGATGACGTTGGCATTGTCGTTATACTCGGCGTCGCGAAAAGGACGCGGCCGCGCAGAGCGTTGTTTGTTCCTCTCACATTTGAGCGGCGTTGTTAACCTTTTTTGTTCGAGCGCGAAAACACACATGCATGTTATCGCATCAATTTGGAGTTTTTCTTTTTTGCTGTTTATTTTTTATTCGTACGTTGAGGTCTTCTCTCTTTATCAGGCTCATTTCATACGGGATATATTGGTACGGCAAAGCGTGGTGTGTCTTTTGATTTCCTTTTTTTTTAAACCCCTCAAAACACTTGAGGTCGCAGGCTGGAAAAGACGCATATGTGCATGCGCGTGTGTGAATGTTCATTCATGGGCTGGCTCATTGTGATGGTTTGGGTTTTCTTTGTTATTATGGGATTTTTTTTCTCGTCCGGTTCATAAGGGGGAGGCGAGGGAGGTCTTAAATCATTGGTTCAAACGGATGGTCGGTCGGGCGATGGTGGACGGGAGGGCGCCATGTATAGATAAAAAGAAAGAACGACCAGGAACACAGTGGTTGGTGATGGGGGAGGAAGGGGACAAAGGGTTCCAAATGTCCATATGGCAATGGCTTTTGCTTTGTATCTTTGATGTCTTCCGCGGATGAAAATGGGTAGAGAAATGATAAATTGTTAAAAGTTATGAAGGGTTGCATTTGATATATGTTGAAGTAGAAAGTTAAGGAGATGATGCGTTGTACATTTTACCTTGGGGGGGAGTTTTTTTTTCTTCTTTGTACATGTAGATGATAGCACTGGATATTTGTATACTTATCTCTCTCTCTCTCCCCTTTGTACCACATCATCCTACATACCTTCTCCAACCCGCATCCACAAAACAATCTTTTTTCCTCATCACACACCACTCCCTCCGAGATTCTTCACTCTCCAACCAACGTAGATCTAGATACAATCTCCAACCACAATTCTTGCTCAATCAAGTCCAGTCCAGTCCAGTCCTTCCCTGTAGTAATGGAAATCCCTGACTTGGCCGAGCATACATGGAAGAGTCGTATTCGCTTGTATACGGGAAAGAAGGGGATTGCTGCTGGGGAATGGTGGTGAGTCTTAGTGTAGGGTAAAAATGGGAAGATTGGGATGGGGAGGGGGGCTTGTTTGTGTGGATTGGACATGTTTTTGAGGAGGGGGGGTGGGATGTCTGGAGAGGAGGTGGTGTGAGGTGGGTGGGATTTTGAGGGGAAAGGCGCGGATGGTGTATGATTGATTGATTGGTTTGGGGTTTGTGGGGTTGATGGCTTGTGTGTTGTAGATGGCGGTGGTGAGAATTTATATGATTTTCTTCTATTTTTTGCTGTTGGCATGTTTTATAGCGAGGGGATGTGGGGGGGTGTTTGATGATTTCGTTGTGTGGATGGTTGGTCGGGATATGGTGGTACATCTTGTTTTTGTGGGTGATGTGCTAGTATCGCGTTGACATGATGAGAAGCTCATATGTGAGGTGATTTGTGGCTTCCTGGAAGCATGTTCTGGGAATTAGGAATCCTTGTTCTCTAGAATTCCAGATGTCAAGGACATGATATTCGTTGAGGTCAAAATATGAATGATTGCGGTAGTGCTAATAATCACGTTTCTTGGAGAAGAACACTTTGTGGTTTTATCTTTTCCGTTAAAACTCCAGTAACTAAGAATGACTACTCTTCTATGGAACCATTTTGTAAAGTTCAGTCACTTGCAATCATTGACTAATCCCAGTGAATGTCGACAATGACGTCATATTGTATGTACTTTTACAAGTGTCAGCTCAGCACGCTGCTGTAATGCGCCTCGCCCTATACGGCATTGGTATGATTCAGCCAGTGGATGCACATCAAAAACTAGCGTACATATGACGATGAGACTGCGCACGGTTTGATACGGAAAGAAATTGTTGGTCTAGAGCTCCGCGACTTCCGATGATTTGATCTTGCACGTTGCACGCTTGACATACGCTTATTACAACAGCACATTCCAAACTCAATTTTTTGAAAGATTCTCTTTTCGTGAAAGCCTCAGATACAGAAACAACTTTTTTCTTCTTCCGAAACAAACATCCCCTACAAGGCTGGGTACTTCTTTGGACTGACGTCATATTGAGACCACTAAATCCTTTCTCGATACCGAGAACAACATGCCGGAGATAATCCTCTCAATCAATGCGGGTTCGTCTAGTGTCAAGATATCAGTATACAAGACACCAGAAAATGGCTCTTCGGTACCAGTGCAACTTGCCGAGGCGACCGTCGAAGGTCTGACCGCACCGCCTGCAAAATTAAAATACGAGCGCGGCGACGAGAAGATCAAGGGGAAAGAGCTGGAGAATGTCAAATCGCAAGAAGACGGATTCCGATATATCCTCGAGCACCTGACGAATGACAAGAACCTTAAGGAGCTAAACCACACAGACGACATCCGATTCACGTGTCATCGCGTTGTGCATGGCGGTGACTATCCCAGAAGCCAGGTCATCGACAAAGAGACGTACTATCACATTGAGGAACTCTCTGATCTGGCGCCACTCCACAACGCCCCCGCACTTACCATTGTCCGGGCTGTAGCAGAGGCTTTACCGCATGCCAAGAACATTGCATACTTTGACTCTTCATTCCACAACACGCTACCCGATTACATATGTACATACCCCATTGACCAGGAAGTGGCACAAAAGAACAAACTTCGAAAGTACGGGTTCCATGGTATCAGCTACTCATTCATCGTCAATGCAGTGGCCGAACATCTCAAGAAGCCAGTCGATCAGGTCAACATCATCGCCCTACATCTTGGCTCAGGCGCGTCCGCTTGTTGCATCAAAAACGGAAAATCACTGGATACGACCATGGGCCTAACTCCTCTCGCCGGCCTACCTGGTGCCACACGTTCGGGTTCTATTGACCCGTCATTAATGTTCCACTACACGCACAGCGCAGGAAAACCATCGCATAGTTCAAGCGAGAAGATGCACATCACCCAAGCAGAAGAAATCTTGAACAAGCAAAGCGGATGGAAGAGTCTAACCGGCACCACTGATTTCGGTAGAATCAGCTCTTCGGATCGGTACGAGGACAAGCTCGCTTTCAACATCTTTGTCGATCGTATTCTCAACTACGTCGGTCCGTACTTCACGAAGCTAGATGGCGAGGTGGATGCGCTTGTTTTTGCGGGAGGCATTGGCGAGAAGGGCGGGAAATTGAGGCAAGCGGTTGTGCAGGGTGTCAAGTGTCTAGGCTTCGCGGTTGATGAGAAGAAGAATGAGGTTCAGGTAGAGGATGTGGCCACGGATATAAGTGCAAGTGGTGCGAGGTACAAGACGCTGGTTGTTCAAACGGATGAGCAGCTGGAGATGGCAAGGGGTGTGTTGGTGGATAAAGACCGTTTTGTAGGGAAGAAATAATTTTGAAGAGAGATACATGGCTTTGGTGATAATCACAACCTCTAATATCCATCCGTATTTATATCTTTACATATATTGATGCGTTTGTACACATGTATAAAGGGTCCACGTCCTACTGAGACGGTTACGGTGTATCGGCAGAGGAAATGTCGGTGGCAGATGCCCATGGTGTATTGGAAGTAGAGCTTGGGTACTATCTACGCATTTTTAGTTCAATGCCTGAAATACTAGGAAGATGAGACCGTACTATGGTGCCGTGAAATCCATCTTTTCCGTGCTATCCTGATAACGAGAACGAACATGGGTATCGTGAGTTGTACGAGTAGAGTGGCAAGAGCTATACGTGCTTTGAGGGACCAGTTGGTCATACTGATGATTTTTGCTTAAGGGGAGGATGAAGTGAGTTTGAACGACTTGGAAGGAGCGAATGTCTCCGTTGATGGTGCATAATGGCGAGGATGAGCACGCTTTTGATACACAACCCTAATCCAGAATCTGGATGTTCTTAGATTTCTTATGGGGCTGATGAAGGCATCGCACGAATGTTTTTGGGGCGGAGTATATCCAGATTCTGGTGTATGGCCTTATGTCGTGTTTCGAGGAACCAGATTCTGGTATTTAGCACGACGGGGAAGTGAAGGGCAGATTCCGAAAGTCCAATCTTCCGAAAAGCCAATCGCTAGTCGCCTGCTCCCTCCTGCGTATCAGTTCTCCAACACGACTACCCAAACAGTCTCAATTACACCAAACGTCGATCTTCTTCCTCTTTAGGCCATCCTGTCTTAGTATGCGTAGTAGCATAGTGCAGTGATTACAGGGGTGGCGTGGAGCCAACATGGCATTCGAGGCTGAGCAAGGTTGTCACCACAATCTGCTCAATTCCAGATTCTGGTCTGCATTGCAATGTTCTGGGTGGCCTGTGTGCTGATCAAATGCATCATGTCGCATATCTTCACATTGTGGCTGATGCACCTGATAGTGATTGGTCGAATCAAAGAGCGAGGCGGAGCAAACCGGTCAAGCAAAGACAGCTCAGCCTTCAGCCCCCGAAGGACTCGAGAACGCTCAGCCAATCAATCGATATCCAGATTCTGGATTGTTAACCGGGAGCTCCCCTTCTGAGAGCCAGTGTTCCAGAATCTGTTTTTACGGATTCCATATTTCACATTCCTGATCCCCAGATCCTCTCCTCGGATCCACTATCACGAGAGGTGTTCGATCTAGCCTTAGGTCGAGAAGACGTTGCAAACCCATTTCTTCCTTCTACAGTCTAACAAATTGTAAGCTAGCCATGCCGAAGACAAAACACCCGCGAATATCTCGAATAGAATGGGATCATCACAAAGAGAAGATTCAAAGGCTATATCTATCTGAAGATAAAAGTTTGATGGGACAAGATGGCGTTATTGAAATCATGAAAAGAGAGGGCTTCTCTGCAAGGTAAAATCATATAACCCCTCAAACATAAGCTTTGGGTTGATCTAATTTGTTTAAGTAAACCACAATACGAAGCCCAGTTCATGCGATGGGGCTTCAAGAAGAAGTTGACTCGCGAAACATGGCATACCATTGGACAAATCATCAAGAACCGGGATGAAGCTGAGCGCATTAGCCACGTATACGCCTATGGGAAGAGACTTCTCAGCGACAAAGTGAAGAAAGAGACGGCCCGATATAAGACTTGTGATGAAAATGGAGAGTGCTGTACGAAGCGACTGTTGCCCGCCGGCATTGAAGTCCGGTCGGATGAGGAGGAAGTTGAAGAAACCATCCTCAGCCTAGAACCCCAAAACATCCATTCAAACAACCCATTAGCCACACAGCCTCCAGTAGAGACGCATGCTCTCGGGGCACCCTGGAATCCGGCACCCAGCCCTGGCTCTTTCCAGCCAATTGATCCCCAAGTTTTCGAGCTCATAGTCATGAACACTCGTCCAAGTCCTATTCAGGTTGACGAATGGTCCCAAAATGCCAAAATCTGGGAGACTGCATCACTGGTATCGTCCTCTCAGCCAAGTCCGTTCAATCGATGCGATGATGTTTTTGGACACTTGTCCCTTGGAACGTCGACGTTCGAGAAAGTATGCACCATACCTCGGAACACCATCGCTTTATTCACCAACCTCAACACCCCACTATTCCGTGAATTCCGGGCTTTGTTGAAAGACAACCAACCCAAGATCTTTGCTTCAATCAACCAGATGAGACATCTACTCCCAAGCGAGCCAAACCAACTTCAAAAGGCTTCTGTGGATCTGGTCATCCTGAAGCAGATACTCTATCTTCTCATGAACAACTTCGCTGGCTCCGACTATGCGGTGTTCGATACCATTTTCGAGCAAGTTAGGCAGTTTCCTGTTGCTCATATGGAGGATATGCTGGACGCGCTACCTGATCCATACGCAGCAGCACTTCAGCAAAGTATCTTGACCATCGCCATCAAGTCCAACATACTAGCCCTTGTGGAGGTCATTTTGAGAAGAGGTCTTGACAGCGATCGGGTCACTTGCCGCTTTTTTGGCCAAGAATTCACGCCTCTTGGATTAGCATGCATGTTTCGTCATCTAGAGGTCGTGAAAGCTCTTCTACGTGCAGGTGCCGATCCGAACCGGACTCCGACTCGTGGATTTGAGGCGACGCCTGTTACATATCTGCTTCGTCATAGCTCCCGACACAGCGAGGTTATATTCCCACCAGTTGTGTGCAACATCCTACAACAACTCCTAGATCATCATGCTAAGATGTTTTGGAGTGATATTGTGGAAGCGAAGTTTTGGGCAAGCACAAACCTTTTGGATATCTTCATACATCACAATAAGCTTCCGGTCAATTTTCAAATTACAAGCATCCGTGTTGAGAAACTAGATCAGGAATGGCTTGAGATCAGCAGTTTCTGTCAACAGGAAAAGATAACAGCTGCCCTTCAGTCAATCTTAGGGATCAGTTCAATTTTACCCAATTGTAACGATATACCCAAGAGTTCGATGATCCCTCTCCTTCGGGACGCTTCGTACAAAGGCAACTTGAGTTTAATCGAATTTCTTCTGGAACGGATAGGACTTACTCCAGACTCTACATGTTTGTGTGCGGCTGCTCGTGGAAATCAGCCGCTGTTGGTCAAAAAGTACTTACAGATGGGAATGGACATCACTAAATCATCCCAATATTCACAAATCAAAAATCGTGTTGTGAAAACTCTCTCTTCAAACGTAGATCCGTATCTACTAGAGGGCTATTGGGTTAAAATGGAAACAACCACACCATTTGCCGAAGCTATTAGATCGGATAGCCAAGAGATGATTAACCTCTTAAAGAGTCATGACGTTCTCAACACAGTTACGGACATGGACAATTTTGGACCAGCTATACTTGCTGCTGCTGAAACAGGAAATACAGACATAGTCCAAGAACTACTTGAGACATACGAAAAAGGCTGTCGGGACACCTCGAAATTACCCTTTGCCAAACTTTCTAAATTCTGTTGGAAATTCCTCAGTCAGGCTATGACTGTTGCTGTTTTGGGAGGCCGCGAGGGCATTGTAGAATGTCTAATGGCGGCTGGCTCACCGCCAGACTACATTAGTCTTGCGGCTGCAATCTTGACGCGTAATATACGGCTTTTCGAATTATTCCTTGATACAGCACAATCTTTCGATCAACGTGCTGGGCTTGCAGCCCTTGCTGTGCGTTGGGGTAGTCAGCATGTTCTCGAACTCTTGAGTGTTCGTGGAGTTTCTTTCGATGAAGACCACATCGATCTGGACTATCTCAACTTACCGGCATTGGAGTGGACGACTTCAACTCTCAACGCAGCCATGGAGAGAGATGATCAAGACATATTCCATCTGCTACTCAACAATGGGGTGAACTGTAATGCGTATTCCAGGGGCTTTCTGCCCTCACCTTTGGAAAAAGCGATCGACTGCGACCGTGAGACGTGCGCTTACACGCTACTCAAGTATGGTGCGGACCCAAGAGACCCTGGTGCACTCTCCGCTGCTTTGAGAAAATCTCATACTGAACTGGCTGAAGCAATTTTGAAGTCGTTCAAAGAACTACATCCTCATCACAATGGAGACTTTGTAATCCCAGCCTTGTGTGATATGATTGAACAACAGAACGAGAAATTGGTTAGGATGCTCGTAAGCTACATCCATCCGAACATTTTAGCATGCCAAGGACATCTAACTCAACATCTCATGCCACTTGGGTCGGTGATTGCTACGGGTAACGTCAAGATTGTACAAATCTTGTTGGAGTCCGGTATCGATCCTGATAGCACTGTCGAAATCGAAAATTTCGATACAAATGGAGGCCGATTGAACGCTGTATTGAAGGCAATATCGACTGGGAACCTCACTATGGTGCAAGTTCTGCGCGAGGCTGGAGCGGACTTGAAGTTCAGTGCAACAGTTGGCATAACGCGCACATCACTACAATTGGCTATTGAACTGGGCCACTTTGAAATTGTTGAGTACCTTCTCAACCAAGATGTCGATGTCAACGCACCACCTTGCATCTGGGAAGGGGGCACCGCTCTCCAATTTGCTGCCAAGACTGGTTCCGTCCGCATAGCAGAACTGCTTTTTGAACGCGGTGCCGAAATCAATCATCCAGGCAGTAAATACGTTGGCAGGACTGCGTTCGAATTTGCAGCAGAAAATGGAAGAATAGACATGCTACTTTGGCTATTCCATCAAGGCGTGGATATTGCGTCAGACGGTGGGAAACAAGTCAGTAGAGCGTGTATTTTCGCGGAAGAAAACGGACAGATAGCGGCACGAGATCTAGTTAAACAGCTCGGCATGGAAGCACAACAGAACTTTGTTTCTACTTCATATCAGACTTTCTGGTAGGAGGTGCTATGCTGATGTACAGCAAGCAGTTACATAGTCAATTGCATTATCAGCCAAATATCGAACCTATGCTCGCAATGTCGCTACTGAAACAAAAGAGTGTCCAAGATACGCTACACGCGTTGAGAAGGTCGAGGGCTGTAATCACCTAGAGTGAATCTGGGTACCAGCAAATGAACAATGTGCATGAAGGCAAGATGCCGGAAGAAAGAGATTAAGATGAAGGAAATAAAGCCGATAGATGTCATTGTAAAACTGTTGCGATTAAGAACGTAGGAAGGGATGATGACATTCTGTTTGACTTATGTATGCGTATGAGTGCACAAAGTTATGTAGGTACCCAGTAACTGAAACAACGTTGCCCTAACCTCTACGAGATCTATAATAAGAAATAGGTGTCAACGCAATCTGCCGGAAAAAGGTCGGTATCATATCCATTGTAATCAATAACGCCAGCAACAGGTGTATTTGGAAGTGACAAAGGTTGCTTACTCTAGATACCGTCACGTGATACTGTAGCTGACAGCCACAGCCAATGAAAGCTTCTGGTGGCCTGTGGGTGTTGCTTATAAACATGCGGAAGACCCGGATGTTGGTGCATCCGGCTGCCGGTGACATTACAAACCTCATTTTCCTCTCGCGACGCGATTGCAGCCGACGCGAGCATAACATCTTCGTCCATTTTTGGCCCTCGCTTTGAAGACTGTAATAGAGATGTAGAAGTGCTTCAGAGTTTCGGTCCGTTTTCAAAGAGAAATGTATATGTATAGCTAACGTTTCATCTCCTTAACCTCATTCAACATCCTGCGTTTTAGCATCTCTTTCCCAAAATACCCATCACTTTGTTAATTATTTGACATTCAATCATGACCGAAGAGCGCAACATCATCGTGCTCGGTGCTTCAGGCGCTGGCCTTCAAGCAGCCCACTACATCCTCAAGCATATACTACCTGCTCTCAAAGCCAAGAATGATGCCAAGTACCACGTCTATATCATCGCGCCATCATCGACTTGGTACTTTAGAAATGCTTCGCCTCGCGTCGCAGCTTCAACTGACCGCATGTCGACCGAAAAAGTCTTGTTCAAGCTGCACGATGCTTTCAAGCAGTACTCCAAGGAAGACTTTAGCTTTGTCGAAGCTACTGCAACTGGTCTTGACACATCAGCACAGCAAGTCTCATATCGCAGCAAATATGGACAGGAGGACCAGAATTTGCCGTATCACGCCTTGATTGTTGCTACAGGCAGTAGCACCTACTTTCCCGCTTTCTCCATGAGTGGAGATGCTCAAGCTACTCTCGACTCGGTCGCTTCGACCAACGAGAAGGTGGCGTCAGCGAAGAAGATTGTCATTGCTGGAGGCGGAGCGACAGCCGTGGAATTTGCTGGTGAAGTTGCCGAGCATCGCAATGGCAAGCCGGGATGGTTTAGCAAAGTCGTGCCAAAAGTCGAGGTCACTTTGGTCACATCTGATGCGAAGCTCCTCCCTGGTCTACGCCCTGCAATTGCCCAAACAGCAGAACGCAAGCTCAACGCTCTCGGTGTAAAGGTCATCTACAACACGCGTGTAACCGAGTCCACGTCCAAAGAAGATGGTCAGACTGTAATGACGCTCCAGAATGGAGGCAAGCTGGATGCAGATCTCTACGTGCCTGCCTATGGTGTCCGGCCAAACTCTTCATGGCTTCCGAAAGAGCTCCTCGATAACAAGGGCTACCTCATCACCGGCTCCACTCTTCGTGTCGATGCAGCAGGTCCCCGTGTGTATGCCCTTGGCGATATCGGCTCCTACTCACGCAACAACTACTTCGATATCTTGAATGGTCTACCTGTTCTTGTCACCAACCTCAAGCGTGACTTGCTGTCTTTTGACCCCACACGCCCTGATGCGAAGCCCAAAGGAAAAGATCGGGAATTTAAGCCCGACACGAGGGAGTCAATGGTAGTCCCGATTGGAAGTGGTGGTGGTGTTGGCGCCCTCATGGGTTGGAGACTGCCAAATTTTGTAGTCTGGATGGCTAAGGGTAGGGATTATATGGTGGGTATGAGTGGGCTTTCTACTTCAGGTGGCGCCAGTGTCAAGAAGGAGGTCAAGTGGACTGCTGAAGAGGCTGCCATCTGATTGTTATAGAAGATATCGGGGGGGCGTTGATGAACGTTCTGGAGTTTAAGCTCTATATCCTTTTTTGTAGTTATTACTAGTAATGCCTTAGAGCGTAATACATTGATATTTTTCCGAGACTGTGGCATGCTTGGTGGAGGTGCTGGAGGGTTGAAGAGGTTGGGAGTGGCTGCCCCGCGGAGAATAATGCAGGACGATTGGTTTCGAGCTCGCACCACCACATCACGGCGCGCTCCGCGTCTACACGACTCCCGCCTATCCTTGCACCCCACGTACGCGGCCCCAATGCGGGGTGAGTAACAGAACAAATGGACTTCGTGCGTATGGTCGACAGTAAAAGGGTGAAGTGGAAGCTGACTGGATACAGTGGGTGAGGCTACTTGGCGGCTCGTCCCAGAAGAAGAAGCAGATCGCGCCAAACAACCCGCAGCAGCGGCTGGCACGCTTCCGGCAGCGATACAACCAAGTACTGGTATGCGAGTGTGTCGATCCTATGATGCCTATGGTCTGACAGACAGCAGCAAGCATGGCAAAAGGCAACCAACCTCGCAAGCGACCGCGAAGCGCTGGGCAACATCCGCCGTGGCTTCCAGGCCCTCACCGCGATCCTCAGCGATGAGTCTCGATCACCCGCACCCCACATGTGCCTGCAGTTTGCGGCAGCTCAGCAGATATACACGGCCGTCTCCAAGATAGCAGCCACCGCGCACGACGAAGGCACCGTTAGGGACGCCGTCGCATTCTATAATGCCCTCATCGATAGCGAGGAAGAGGACTTTCTCGAGAATGATGTCTTCGCCGCCTCCCTCATGAACTTCATCGACCGGACAATCGGATCTGGCAGTATAGGCATCGGCGAAGACATTGAGGCCGACATTGTCGAGCTGCTGTTCGGCATTGCGGCCAAGATCAGATTACAGCCAGAGATCCTGCATGTCTGGTTCACCACCACATCTGCAGACAGCCAAAGGCGGCTGCTCAACCAGAAAGCCGATTTTGCGGGTGTCACACAAAAAGAAGATTTCCCACTGTGCTATCAGCTTATTGACCACGTGCACCATGAAGGCCGTATCGGAGACTTTGCGCGCACTGGCCTACTGTACATATTCGAGTCTGCTTCCAGGTCCATAGATCTGGAGCAGTGGATAGTGAACAGTGATCTCCCTACACTCATGGCAACTGGGCTAGGGGCTTTGTACAGTCAGATGAGCAGGTAGGACATTTATTCACTCTGTTTCTACAGTAAGCTAACGTGGCGTAGGAAACTGTCTATCCTACATCCCCCGCAAGATCTGCCTCTTATACTGTCTCTTTCCGACTACCCCGAGATGAAATCGAACCCACAAGCAGAGAATTTCTTCAGTGTTGACTTTCAGGGCCATCTTCTTACGTTCCTGTCATACCTTGCGTTCTGGCAAGATGTATTGGAGCATTGCAGATCTGCCGATGTCAGAGTCACACTGATTGACCACTTCCAAGCCTTATTCCTTCAGCAGCTCTTGTTTGTATCCACCATGCACCACTCGCACGCATTCTGCTAATCCCATATAGGTATCCTTCGCTGCTAGAATCATCCGACGCTGATGGCGGTTCGTCTGTTGCAGTGCTTACATATCTCCGCCATATACTGGACGGTCTGGACCATCCCGAGCTTGTACACATGATGCTTCAGTATTTGCTAGCATTGCTGGACTATACGACTTCTACAGCGCCACGTTCACCCGCCGCTGTCAAGCGACGCCAGTCGCTCATGCTGCTCAGTGCAACAGACAAAGACGACGACAAACTCAACCCATCGCTGTTTAATCTTGTCGATCTTGTGCTGGGCAGCACTGCCTCCCGGAATCCACAGACTGTCACCGCTGCGTTGAAGTTGACAACAGTGATTTTGAGCAAAAATCACAGCTATGCACTTGGGTCTCTTGTAAAGGTCATGGCCATTCACCACAAAGAGCATCATAGGACAGTCGGATCGCTGAACAAGGAGCTCGAGATGTACCTCAACGTTGCTGTGGACCTTGCCGGCCTTGAAGGCGTCGACGAGGCCTATGACAGCTATCTGAAGGATGTGTTGAGCTTACTGGAATCTCATCCTTGTTCGCTGAAGACGATTGGCATACCATCCTTGTCTGGGAAGAATCAAGGCTATTTTGACTCAGCTGAAGCCTCGGCTAGGGATGTTGACCCGCATCACCTGCTCCCAGAAGACCCACTCTTCCAAACCCTGATTGACCTGCTGCTAACGTTCCTCACAAACGATGTTGAGACTAATCTAGCACTTACCGAGGCAATTGTTACGCTCGGAACATGCTCTCAGCTACGTCTTGAAGGCTGGCTGTCTGTTGACCCTGCCGATTACCACTTTGAGAACAATAGCTCCGAAATAGAGTCGTTCTCGAATGAAAATCTGCGGGCCATGTACATGGCTGAAAGGCTTCCAAATTGGAACCCAGCAGCCACACCCCAGTTGCTGGCGTGCTTGCAGCAGCTTCAGGCTCAAGTCAATGCTCTCCGGAGCGACATCAAGGACTGGGATGAGCAGGTTGCTAGTCGTAAAGACACTTTCCGCATCCACCAAGACATAGAAGAGGAGTCTAAATTGTCTACACCTCAGTCAAAAGCAGTCAGAGCACCTTCCGAAACACCAGCGGGGTCTTGGACACCACAAATACCAAAACATGTTCTGGACTCACCACAGACGCCTTCGCGAGCTCAGTCTCCTCGAGGAAGGAAAGAAGCACTTGCAGCGTCAAGAAACACGCCCGGAGGATCTCCTGTTCCCTCAAGATATGGCGGTCAAACTCTCGTTGGCTCACCTGCTCGAGCGGCGTCCCCTCTATCAGTGCAGAATGTCAGCATTCTACAGCCGTCGCTCATGTCCGATGTCGATGCCAGTATAGCACAAATCCGGATGAATCAATTCGGCAAGAGACGCATTCGCTTCCGGCGCGCAGCTGGGTCAAGAGAAGTTGAAGTCATGCTATCCAAATTCCAGCCGCCACCAAAGGAGTCTTCTGAAGATGCAACAGGTAGCGCTGAAGAGAGGGAGGAAGATGATATTCGAGAAGCGAGCCTAATGCATATCATCACGAACGTGGTGATTCTGCAAAACTTTGTGCTGGAGCTCGTGGCATTGATGCAAGTCAGGGCCAGCTTGTTTAATGAGGTCAAGTTTCTTTGAGGGTGTAGTGCTTGTTGTGGGGGTGTTTTCGGTTTAGTAGCACGAATATACCCATTTTCATGTCTGTGTCTTGGCCTTTCCATCCACATGGCTGTCCACGACCATCCCTATATGAATGCAAGAACGGCAGGGGACCCGCACGTGCTGTGTTGTTCCGAGGTATTCTCGCGCACGTGCATCACCAACCCGCCGTACGGAAAACACAGGGCTGCATCGGAAATGTTGCCGGGTGCCCCTCAAACGTCATTCTCCCACACTTTCACATGTCGATCATTCCACCCCTCCTCATCCACCATCAAACTGCCATGTGTGTGAGCTCGTGAAAGCGCACCAACCATGAACCAACCAAAAACCAAAACCCGCCTTTTCTCCTCTCTGATATTCTGTCAATACTGCCTCTCCACGCAAGCCACAATGAGCAATTAACTATTACAGGGCCTTTGGAGACATGAAGCTCGGTTACTGCATAGTTCCATGTGCCGATCCCCGGCCGAACGACATCAGCATATCGTAACTTCCGCTCGTCCACCAAGGCAAAATCCGGGGTATGCCAAGTGTTCCCGTTAGTTGCCAGGCTAGGTCATACCAAACACAGACGCGTGCCAGTCTAAACTCAGACATTCGGCCTGGGCTCACGCAAGGGCCGAGGCTGGTGGGAGCGAATGGAAGCTGTCTGACCTCTGCTACCCGCGGGTAGCTTCTGATCAGCCCCTGGTAAGAGAATATTACTGACGGAATGACCTTGCTCCTTCTTTCTTGACTCACAGTTCTTCACCTTTTTTTTGGTTCCTCATCTTCTGCTTGGTGCTTCTTGATACCCATCTGGTAGCTGTTGACTTCTTATATTTTTCCTCCTTTGACTTGACTATAAGGTATCAGGTGGAGGCTCATCAGATACGCTACGGTTTTTTTTTCTTGAATTAGAACTGAGTGGAGCTTGGCTCGCTTTGATATTATCAAGAGGTTTGGATTGTTGTTGGTTTGAGCTTCGCGCAACTTGCTCTTTCCTTTTAAAGGGAGTAAACATCAAGACCATACAACATGTCTGCAAAGTCGGTACAAGGGCCTAATGGCAAACAACCCGCGTCAGCGGCCACCAACCTGATCGGTAAGCTACATAGTCAGTGTATACTCTCCAATGGCAAAGGCTGAACATTTCGCGTAGCTGGTGGTGGTGCTGGTATGATGGAGGCGCTCGTGTGCCATCCTCTAGGTAAGTTTAACTTTTACCGAAAACCCAATTGACTGGCAAAAACTAACATAATTTTAGATACAATCAAAGTTCGAATGCAGTTGTCAAGACGAGCTCGCGCGCCAGGAGTATGTTCCACTTCATATTTACACACCATGCGGCGGGAAAATTGCTGATGTAGCACTGTAGGCGAAGAAGCGCGGCTTTATTACTACTGGTGCCGAGATTGTGAAGAGAGAAACAGCGTTGGGTCTATACAAGGGTTTGGGTGCGGTGTTGACTGGAATCGTTCCGAAGATGGCCATACGATTTACGAGTTACGAATGGTACAAGCAACTGCTCGCGGACAAAGAGGGCAATGTCGCGTCAAAATCAACATTCATGGGTGAGTTTCTTATATTTCTGGCCTCAATTGCCCTCTCGTGATTTCTCTAGAAAGATATCAGCCACGACCAATGCTGACCATACACAGCTGGTCTTGCCGCAGGAATCACAGAAGCCGTTCTTGTCGTCACTCCTATGGAAGTGGTGAAGATTCGTCTACAAGCGCAGCACCACTCCATGGCAGACCCACTCGACGTGCCGAAGTACCGAAACGCCGCTCATGCGATGTACACTGTTGTCAAGGAAGAAGGCGCTGGAGCATTATGGCGCGGTGTCTCGCTCACTGCCCTGCGCCAGGGAACCAACCAAGCAGCAAACTTCACGGCATATTCTGAGCTGAGGGCACAATTGCAGAATTATCATGGCAGTACCGACATTCCCAGTTACCAGACAAGTATGATTGGACTGATAAGCGGTGCTGTGGGACCTTTCACAAATGCACCGATTGATACCATCAAGACGAGGCTGCAGAAAACGCCTGCTGAGCCAGGCCAAAGTGCCCTACAACGAATTACAAATATTGCCGGGTAAGATATTGAGCCATTGTATACTATATACACGAACTAATCAGGCTGGCAGTGATATGTGGAAGCAAGAAGGAGTCCGAAGTTTCTACAAGGGCATCACACCACGTGTTATGCGAGTCGCTCCTGGTCAGGCTGTTACATTTACTGTATACGAATATCTGAAGGGTGTTTTGGAGCGTGGACGAGAGATGTTACCGGGTGGCCAATATGAAGAATAGGCCACGGCCAGGTGGGGTAAGTGTCGGAGGTAGTTTATGGGTTCTGATACTATTCTGAACAGCGAATGTAAAACCATTGATTGCATCTGGAAATGAGTTTCTTTTTACCTGCACGATTCATGCTTGTATCGGGCCATCTCTAGGAACAGGAAGGTATGGCAAAAGCAGGGACTGCCAAGTGCATCCGCCATTCACCCCACTTGCCCCACGTACCCATGCATCACAATGCTACGTCAGCGTAAACAAGCAGAGTTGTCAATTCAACAACCTATACCCCACCACGGTCATCTGAACACCAACTTTGTCTATAGAGTTTGTTCACGCTAGAGTCTCGTACAAGATGCAGTCCGGTATCTCCGGTACTGTTACCTAAATTCCCAGTTCTGAGAAGCCCTTCTAACAATGTACAACAGCTTCTCAAGAGCTCAAATCTGCCCTAGGCAGCCTCATAACATCGACCAGCCAACGCGGTATCCTAGCAACGATCCAGAAGGAAACAATTGTACCCAGCGGCACAATATCCTCAAGTGCCTCGACCTTTGTCGACGATCTCTCGAATCTCCAGCCCCACGTCAAGGACAATGCGGCATTGTACATTCTCCTCCGTCGCTCCGACAGCCTGAGCAGCTCAGATAAGAGCCTTGTGGCAGTAACATACGTCCCCAATGCGGCGCCAGTACGACAAAAGATGCTCTTCGCATCCACAAGGCTGACCCTTGTTCGCGAATTAGGCGGTGAACACTTTGCAGAAAGCATCTTCACAACCGAAGCGTCGGAGTTGACAACTGAAGGCTGGGAGAAGCACGTAGCTCACACCGAGTCCGAGAACCCATTGACCGCCGAAGAGCAGTCGCTGCAGGACATCAAGGCCGCTGAGGCACTAGAGAGCAGGGGCACACGGGGCCAGAGTCTCGCCCAGGGCGGCAAGTTGGCAATCCGTGCTGACAACGAAGTCGCAGAGGTATTGAGGAAGCTGGGCCAGGGAGGTGGAGATAATCTCGTGCAGCTGAGAATGGATGGTGCGTCTGAGACGTTGAAGCTGGTATCTTCATCGTCAGCCACGCCATCATCCATCTCTAGAGCTATCGATACAAAGGAGCCACGATACGTGTTTTACCGCCACAACGACCCGGATGCGTCGATTGTTTTCATCTCGACGTGTCCGAGTAGCGCGAAGATTAGGGAACGCATGATTTACGCTGCGAGTCGCGGCAACGTCGTGTTGCTTGCACAAAACGATGGTGGTCTCAAAGTGCTGAAGAAGCTCGAGGTCACGAATCCGGATGAGATCACTGAGCAGATTATCTTGGATGAGTTCAAGGAGGAGAAGAAGGAAGAGAGCAAAGGATTTGCCAAGCCCAAGAGGCCAGGGCGCCGATGAACGCAGCTTCTATGAACACATTTCGGATTGCAATGAGCATCATAGACTAAAAACGTATACTGGTATATACGTTTGAAATGAGAATAAATGGATATCCCAATTGATACATTCATTTCCCTCCCTCTTTTTTTAAGTATGCATGCCCTATACGCATACAAATATGACGGGTACCTGAACCAAGAACATATCCCCTTCATACCACCTACTCATCCCCATCCCTCAAGAACCCCCGATTCCCATGCGGTCTCCTCTCCATCCTACCCACCCTCACAACCCCACCCTTCTTACCCACCATCCTCTTCTCCACCTGCCTCCCCTTGAGCCAATGCTCCCTCACGTTCTTCGAATCCCGATTTACCTTTGGCGGCATAACTTTGTTCTGCTGCGCCAACACTGCGACATTGAGTTTACCCTTTTTGACATCCTTGGCGGGCTTATCGGTGCGCTCGAGGAACTTGATATGCTGGTTCAGCTTCTCTTTTCGCTTTTCCTCTTCGGTTTTGCCGCGGCGCTCAGGTGGGGGCGTGGGCGGGCGCTGGTCGTCGATTGTGGCGAGGAGGGAGGCGGGGAGGAGGCCGTTTGAGGTGTCGATTTGGGTGGGGTATTCGGATTCTGATTCTTGGTCGGTGGGGGGAGCATCTGCAGCTGCAGCTGCTTTGGCTTCTTTGGCGGCCTGTTTGGCAAGTTTCTTTGCCTTCTTTTCTTCGCGCTCGCGCTTGGCGGCTTGTTGGGCGGCGAGGAATTCTTCGCGGGCTTTGCGTTTGGCGTCTTCTTTAGCTTGTTGGGCTTTTTGAGCGCGGTCGGCTTCAGCGCGGGCGGCGAGGGCTTTGGAGCTTGCGGCTGCGGTGGTGACGACTTCTGGGGCTTCGTCGTCCGAATCGCTGGCGTCGCTATCGTCGTCGGCTTGGGATACTTCGACTACAGGCTCGGAGGCTTCGTAACGCTTATTGCCTTGCTTGTTGATGACTGGCGAGGCTGGCGTTGGCGCAGGCTCCTCGCTGCCGAAGCGCATGTGTGCCTTCTCAGGCTGTGCCGAGGGAGGTGCAGCATCTTGTGAGGGTATAGGTGCCATTTCGCTCTCGTACGTAGAAGACGGTACCTCGTCAATTGCTTCAACGAGCTCCTTTTGTGGTGTCTTCTTGGGACGCCCTCTTCCCTTCTTCACTGCCGTTGATGGTGTCTGATCGTTCAAGATCTTAGCTTTGGGCGTAGGTGAGCCCTCTGGCCGCTTGCGTGTAGCTGGCGTGGCATAAACGGACCCTGGGGCTTGTATTGGTGTGTAAAATGCAGGGTTTTGCACGGTCGATGGCACTTCATCTTCCTTTTCGACGGTGTTGGACGATTGATCTGAAGCATCGGCGCCAACGACTACTTGCGGGCTTGATTTTCGGCGAGCTGGCAAGCCGCTCTGCTTGGGTGTCTCGGGCGCTTCTGGTTCTTGCGCATTGGCAGCAATCGTGTCTGAGGTATCGTTTGAAGATTCTTGTGAAGGCTCATCTGCAGATTCTTCCTGCCCTTTTGACTCCGCTGCACTTCCTTTCTTTGCTGTGGCCTTGGGTGCCTTTCTTTGCCTCTTCGTCTGTGTTGGTGTCTCCAGCGACTCCAGTTCTCTCTTTCCGACCTGCTTTCTTGTCGAGCTGCGAGGCGTGGGCGTCGGTGCGCCTGGCGTCTCTGTTCCTCCTCGTGTTGTGACCATTGCGACCGCGATACTGTGGACCTGGCGATGTCCTAGCGAAAGCGCAGCTTGGATTTAGGGTGTCTGGGTTGGGGCGCAACTTTCTTCGCGACACCAAAAAAGATTCTGGCGCGCCAAGATTTCGCGGCCATTGCGGACCTCCGAGAATGAACAACCATCACCATATCCGATTTACACCCCCACGCCTGTCACGAAAGCCATTCACAGGTCAATCATGTCCCTCTCTCGAATTGGAGGGGGCTCAAAAGCGACTGTGGAAAAAATCGAGAACTGCCTCATTTGCCAATTTCGTCAATTTTGCAGAACAGCTCAGTACAAGGGCGCTGCAAGACTAATATCATCTCCACATCGACAAAAAGCTAGCGCTCCGATTCAGATCCGGAGATATGCTACTAAGTCGAGATTCGATGCTCCAAAAGCTCGGGCTGATGTCGACGAGCGCAGCCGGTTAGGCTTCTATACACTCGCTAAACAACAGGGTACTCTCAAGATGGAGCCTCGCATAGCGCAGAGTCTGTACCAGGACTTTGTTACACATAAGAATCAAATGGATCATGGTACCAACATTCTACGATTAGTAAAGAGTACGTGTCGAATTTGCCATCCAGTATGAATGTAGAATGCTAATCTCAACAGAGTACAATGTCGTACTTGACGATGTTTCCTCTCTCGGGATCATAACTTTCAAAATACCTGACATCAGCGACCCTGTCAAAAGAGCTCAAATTCCCCCAAGTCAACACAAAACCATCTCCGGACTGCTTCTCCAAGGGTGTGCACAGGCTGGTGATCCTCTAGCAATTGTACATGTCCTGACTGCTGTCTATCTAAGCAGCACAGGTGACGAATCTGTACAAGAGCTAGCACGCCTTTTCCCACGTCATGAAATCCCAAGATACCGCCAGACATTAGAGAGCTTCGATCAACAAACACTAGAAAAGACCACGGCTCTATGGCCAGAAGTGTTGACTCTGAAGGGGCTTTTTCTTGAGCAGGAGGGCCAAAGTCTCAAAGCAAAGGAAGCGTATTTGCAGGCCATCAATCCCTCTAGTCTCAAATATGAACCTGGAGCAAGACATCCCATGCAGCTGCCACTAATCGCCCCGTGGAATGCACTTGGGTTCTTATTGAAATCCGAAAAAGATCCAGAAGTGCAAGCTGAAGCAAAGACCCCATTTGGGCTAGGTGCTCTGAAAGGCGATGATCCGCTCTCGTATTATGAGCTTGCGGCTTTCGAGCCTAGAGCAAGTGAGAAATGGCTGCGCTACACTAGTAAAGCAGCAGCATCTGGCCATCAGCAAGCTATGATTAACCTCATTGACTTTTACCAGGAGGCTGCGAAGACTGAATCTCCCATTCTCAAAAATGATGGCATACGCAAAGCGCTCAATTGGCTGCTAGGATGGAAGCCTGGCAGCGCTGCAGCATTAGCGCGGGAGTGGCTTGAGGCTGCATCTACCGCCGGTCATAAGCCTTCTATGCTGCAGCTTGCAGATTATCATGACTCAAACGGTGATCACGAACGAGCAAAAGAATACCTGCGACAGATACTTGAAGTCCCGAGTGCAGCCAATCAGAAGGAAGAGTGGCCACAACTCGTTCAAGTTGCAAGGAAACGGCTTGCTGGGATTAGGTAAAAGCATGTTGGCTCGAGAGCCAGTCGATTTCTAGTCACTACACTTTGTCTAATAAAGAAGACAATTTTTAGTAATATCCTCGACAATGCAGTGTCTCTATCTCTGAGATCACCCAAGTCTACCCCGCTTCTGCAAGTGAGATACTGGCCTTCCTTATCTGACACTCTGATAGCAGCCATAGTATTTGAGTACACAAGAGGCTCTTGTTCAGCTTTATTTGTCCTACTTACACCGCTCTCAAACCTATACGCATCCTTATTTGACTGAAAGTACTCGTGACCTCCATACCACCATTTCAAATTTTGCCACAACTATGGCTTCCGCCACTGCAACCAAACTCAACCGCAAGGCCCTAATAGGATCATCCACAAGCTTTTGGTCTCATACTTCGCAGTCAGGATTTGATCTTACACACCCATCTACTCACTCTTCGCCGATCCCCGGACCTACTTATACAATCCAAACATCAGCTCAGCCCATCAAGGTTGACCCCGCTAAATCCGCCCTTCTCATAATTGACATGCAAAACTTCTTTCTCTCGCAAGCTTTTGGCCGCAACCAACGGAGTGCTGGACATGCTGCTTGCGAGCAACTTATCAAACATGCAATACCGGCTGCAAGAAAGGCAGGCATCCGGGTGGTTTGGGTGAACTGGGGCCTCACAGAAGAAGAAGTCAAAGAGATGCCGCCGGCAGTCAAACGTGCTTTTGGCTTCTTTGCTATTCCCGCGGATTCAGAGTTCAGTGCAGATGATTCGTTTGGGTATTATGAGGGCAGTGTGAGTGTAGATCGCCACGGAGACGAGAACAAGTCAATGTACTGCGGCATAGGCGCAGATTGTGGGACACTTGAAGTTCCAGAGGGGTACTGCGTTTCTGGCGGCCGTCTACTCATGCGCGATACTTGGAACGCTGCACTCTACCCGCCTCTTGAGGCCATGTACCTTAAGGGTACCAGGCTTGATATTAGGCCCGACGTTTGGATTCACAAGAATAGGATGAGCGGCTTATGGGGTGCCACAACCCCGCTGAAAGAGTTCCTCGACCAAGAGGGTATCAGGACACTGTTTTTTACCGGGGTCAACACGGATCAGTGTGTAGGCGGAACTTTGACAGATGCTTTTAGCAATGGGTATGATTGCGTTCTTTTGAGTGACGGCTGTGGGACTAGCTCGCCAGAGTATGCACAGCAGTGTTGGGAGTACAACGCGAGTAAGACGTTTGGATTCTGTGCGAGCTGTGAGCAGTTTGCAAATGGCGTGATGGGCTAATGGCTTGAAGTGGAAGGAGAGAAGTATTTGAAAGGTTTGGGATGCTTTTGGGGAACAGGACTCTAGCATAATGTTGAACAATGCAAAATTGGTTCACTTGACGTCCTTGTGGTGCTTTTCCGCCTCTGAGGGTATGGCACTTCACTGTGAGTTTCCTAGAAACCTAGACTTACCGCCAAATTACTGTTTCAATTTCAGAGTAAACCAGAAAATTTCACAATTTCCAGGAGCTCACAAGACAAAAATCCTAGTCCGTAATAGAATTGCACCTCTAGCACTATCCCCATAGATGATATCACGGCTATACTAAGGCCGCTTGCAGACATCGGAAAAAGCCTCGGCTAAGCACCGCGAACCCCAGGGCCAACCCCGATGCTATCCACCCCACCCTTGCTCTTCTACATCACTACCAGCACTCTTCCTACAACAATTGGCGTTTTTCCACAGTGCATAAGAGTCGCCAAACATCACAAAATGTCTGGCTTGAGGATATTAGTGCCCGTCAAGCGGGTCATTGACTATGCGGTATGTTTAGTTTAGCACCGAAGAATGCGCCCAGTCCCGAACCTCGGATGTGTTGCAATGGCACAAAGGACAAATTCTATGGATGCAGTGGCGTGGCAACATGAAGGAGAAGGAGACATATACTAATATGAAATGACAGGTCAAACCCCGGGTAAACCGCACGCAAACCGCCGTCGAAACCGCAAACGTCAAGCACTCGATGAATCCCTTTGACGAACTCTCCATCGAAGAAGCGGTCCGCATGCGCGAAAAGAAAGCGCACCACGCTAGCGCCCCCGCCGTCGAAGACATTGTCGCTTTCTCGGCTGGCGTCGCAAAATCGCAAGACATCCTCCGCACAGCCATGGCCATGGGCGCCGACCGCGGCATCCACGTTGTGGTGGAAGAAAAAGACGCCCTCGAGCCCCTCGGCGTCGCAAAGCTCCTCCGCAAAGTCGTTGAGGAGCAAAAAAGCAACCTCGTTATCCTCGGCAAACAAGCCATCGACGACGACGCCGGGCAAACTGGACAAATGCTCGCGGGCCTGCTGAACTGGCCGCAAGCCACACAGGCGTCCAAAGTCACCGTCAAGGACCAATCCGTTGAGGTGGTACAGGAGGTCGACGGCGGTGTGCAGACGATCAAAGCCAAGCTGCCAATGGTTATCACAACGGACTTGCGACTCAATGAGCCGCGCTATGCTAGTTTACCGAACATCATGAAGGCGAAGAAGAAGCCGCTTGAGAAGAAGAGTCTGAGTGATTATGGGCTGGATACCGAGGTTAGGCTGAAGACGGTCAAGGTCGCGGAGCCCGAGCCGAGAAAGGGTGGTGTCAAGGTTGAGGATGTGGATGGTATGATCAGCAAGTTGAAGGAACTTGGGGCTTTGTAAGAAAATAAATGTATGTGTGTATGTGTGTGTGTGTGTATTATCATTACGAATAAAAAAAATGGAAATGATTGTATAGAAAGGACATGAACATGGGATCGTGTCTGGATATCACATCTTGTTTGGCATTCTCGGAATTCACAGCGACGAGAGTATTGGTCTGAAAGAAAAACAACAGTAAATTGTCTGGGGGAAATTGCATATACATCGCCTCTACCCATTCCATCTCACGAAGATTGCGCAGCAAAAAAACTAAGAAAACTTCCTGTCGTCAATCCGCTCACAAGACTTAGCGACATGAAACCTCCCGCAGCCTCTAGCTCATCGGGCTCAACCCACTCGGCAAAGCCCATCATGCAGTTACTTCCCAGAAAACCGTTTGTCATGCCAAACAACAGCTGCACAATGAACAGATAGAAGAAATCAGAGGGGATAGCCGCGCCTTTACCGCCAATATTGCAGAGGAGATACAAGGGAATGAAGAGGATTCTTGCAATGGACAGGAAGAATAGTAACTGTGGGCGATGTGTAAGACGCAAGGCGGGTAAGGCCGGTCCGACACGACCGATGAGATCACCAATGTTCCAGAAGAAGAAGCCTAGGGGGATAAAAGCTGCGGGTTGGAAGAGGCGAGGTGCGGTAGCTGGATCGCGTACACTGAGGACCTGGGGTGTGAAGACGGGGAAGAACATTGTTACTGCAAAGGTAGTGAAGATCGCGCCGGCAAGCCAGAAGAGCTTTCTGAGGAGCCTTGTCAAGGGCACGCTCTTGCGCTCGGAACGATCCGTGTCGTCGTATTCGGGGCTTTCGTTGTAGGATGTGCGCAGCAGGCGCTGCTTGGAGCTGTCTCTGGAGAGCAGGTAGAAGAAGGCAAAGAGGGTTGCGAGGGAGACGGCGGTGGCAGTTAGGAAGTAGACAAAAGCAGAGGTGCTGGACTCTTGCGGCGCACCGTCAACATGGTGCTTCTTTGGGACGGAGAGCACGGAGATGATCTGGGTGATGGCTGGGAGGACACCGGCGACACCTTGGCCGGACATTATGCCTTGGGTGTATTCTTCCCGCCCGAATCCAGATACGTAGGCGAAGACACCGTTTTGGCACAGACCTGTGGCCAGGCTGGCGATCATGACCATGACCATTAGGAAGGCAAAGTAGACGCCGACGGATACGTTGAGGAACAGTTTTGTAGATATGGCAAGCAGTGTGAAGACGATGGCATTGAGAGCAAGCGAGGCGATGATACGACGAGGGTAGTTGGCACGGGCTTGTAGCTTGGTCAGGACAATCATGGAGCCTAGGTTGCCTACGGTGGAGACGGAGAGGATGCCGGACTGGAAGTTGCGGAGGAGGTTGTCGTTGGACTCGAAGCGACGCTGGAAGTAGGGTGCTGCTGCTAGAAACATGTTCCTAAATGCGAGTTAGTCGTATACATGTAGTAAGAGTGTGTATGGACTTACCAGGCCCAGAGCATGGCGACTCCCAGCAGGGTGAAGACGGCATAATCGGTCCATGAGAAGGCCTGCTCCTCAGCATCGATATGCTCGCCATCAGGCCGCTCAGAGCCACCTTGTAGCGGTTCATACGACGCCTCCGGTTCTTCGCGCCCAAACATCTGGCGTAAGCGCTCCATGGTGTGTTGCTATATGTATCGCGCTCGCGATGTTGTCGAGCGTCTGGGGGCGGAGCTGCGGAGATACGGAGTTAGGGAGGTCTTGATAACGAGTCTACAAGTACGGAGGGGTTTAAAAGGACATGCACACGTTCACGAGGTAGATTTGAGAAGAGCAGACATAATCAGGTAATAATACAGGCCCTGGTTGGACTCATGATGGCGGCGCGTGAGAAGCACGTCGAGACACGATAGCAGGTGATGCGGTGATGAGCAGCACGGACGCGGCGCTAGCGTGGGGCTCTGCGTGGGATGGCCACTACTAGTAGGGTTTGATGTCACCTCCACCCCCGCCCTACCCCTCCGATTCGCTGCGCTGGCTCAACTCCAAAGATTCTATACAGACACTACGCGAGTACCCGGCCGTCTCTCCGCCAAGGACGTTGCTCTTCACATACGCACAACCGCCATGTCGTCGCATATGCCTCCGCAGACCATCTCGGTCAAGCGCAAACGTACTGAAGCGCCCGTGGACTCGCTGCGCATTGATCACGAAGTCAAGCGCCAAAAAAGCCAGAACCTCGACGCAGGATTCAACTCGGAGCCAGAAGTTCAGTTCTTCTTCCGGCGACTTACAAAACCAGGCGACGATGCTCACATAGCCACGGCCCCACCGACGCCAACCGCACAGAGGCGATTTCGTCTCGACCCTGTCTCGAGAATCGGGGCCAAGAGACATTTCGTCGAGGAACAAGAGTCTTTGAGAGATGAGAGTACCTTGGTTGGGGGTCAGGTACAGTCACCGGCATCAGAGCCTGCACTCGACATACCATCACGGCCGCGAAAGAGGCCTGGGGCGGGGAGCGCACTGCGAAATTCATCAAAGTCAAGCATACAGCGACAAGTGCAAGTGTCTGAGCCGTCTGAAAAGGACGTGCGTAAACTCGAGGCGCTTTCAAAAGAGGTGGAGAAGATTGACAATCTCAAGATCCCGCTGCCCTCGACATCGCCATCGAAATACAAACCCAAGGCCCCCGCAAAACGGTTTGCTGAGCGTCATCCTGAAAAGGCTGCAGCGCTATCATCGCACGACAACGAAGCTACCGACGTGGACGCAATGGATGTAGATAGCGAATACGTCTACGACCACTATGTGCGCGAGCCCGTTCTGCCGGATGCACCAGCGCCAACGGGGAGCGTAGGACTGCTGGTGATTGGCGAAGAGGACGCAGACTGGTGGGACAAGGAAGAGGGCAGCGACCGAGAGTTTGATACGGATGACGAGGACGAGAATGCAGAAGACTACTACGCTAATGACTACCCGGAAGACGAAATGAGCGACGACGACGAGTTTGACCGCAACCTGTACAAGTCAAAGTATCGCCATGGTAGCGATGAAGAAGAGTACGATATTGAGCGTGACGAGGGCGACAGCGCACTTGCCAGCGGCGAGGACGAAGATGACTTGCATTTCAAGATGACGGTACCGAAGGCACAACGAGTGGGGTACTGGGGTATGAAGGACGAATGAGGAAGTTGGTGGAACCATCGTATCATCATCACGCACAGGTGTACAGGACGGTCTCTATCTCTTGTTTCCCCGTCCATCTCTCTCCTTCGATACACGTAATGGAAACCTGTTGTAGCTGACCACGTACTTTGTCGAGCATATACTTTGGTACTGATCTCGATCAACAAGCCAAGGCCCTTTTTTTTCCCCTTTACCCCACATTCTCAACCTTTTTTTTGTAGACAATCCTTGTCCGTTTCACACACACACACACATACCCCCATCCTAACCAGGATTCATACACGGTGGCATTCTCCGCTTTCCCCCCCCCCCCCACTTGGGCTATTATCGGCTCAACGGTGAGCTGTTAGAGCATAGATAGGCTCGGAGGGAGCTACCGATTTGTTGAGCCAAGAAGGATGCAGATATCAGTCTTTGTAAGTCGAAATTCGCGCATGGCCAAACATGGTAGCCTGGTTCCTAGTTATTAGCGCTATTGCCTATTGTAATCGGGGGTATCGCAGCATCATTGCTCGGGTGAGTGTGGTGCGAGGGGACCGAGTGGTGTTGTGAGAAAAAAAAGGTGGTAGGAGATGGTAGCGCTGCGGGTAGTGCAGCTGTCGTTTCCGTGTCGGGAAGGGATGTGAGCAAGGGACGTGGTGCTATGTTTCAGAGTGGGAAGTCACGGCAGCGTGTGAGTGGTTGCCTCAATTGCTGGGTGGGAAAGCGCGGTGGTGATAGGACAAGTAGTGACTGGCGCTCTTCGCGGAATGAATTTTTTCTTTCTTCTCCCAACTTACTGCTAGTTAGGCCGGCTACGAGCAAAGTTGCGGTCAAGTCTGATCAAGTGTCGGTCAGGTAATGGGCAATTGTCGCCGGCAAGGTGCAGCTGAACAGGGAAGTGTACGAGACAGGTATGTAGAAGGCTTCACGCAGACAGGACAGAAGGCAACGGACTAAGATGACGCGCGGAAAACGGCCGTATACGCGCGTAGCCACCAATTCCTGATTGTGGCAGCACTCGTATACGAAGCGAGGTTAGACATGCATGGCGGGAGTTGTTGTCGCTGGTAGTATATCCCGACTAGGCTAAAGGACAGGCAAGGCAAGACGAAGACGGTTGACTTGCCCCCCTCAGACCAGAGTGGTAAGCAGTGCGGGGAATGCAGAATTGGGGGGGATTAGTGTTAGCAGCAAAGCAAAGACGGGGAAGGCTGGCTAGGGCAGAGGCAGCGCGGTAATGGTGGCCCTTGGTAATAGCAGATGGAGATGAGGTGATGTCGGAGTTGCGTTAGTCCTAGGCTTAGGAAGACGACGACACCAAGTCCCGAGCGCATCCCATTCGCCATGGTGCCATGGAACCACGCTATCCGGCGCACAGTTAGATGAGCTTGGCGGGCAAAAGGCGATCAGGCCGCCAAAAATAAAATAAGACGAAGGAAAATGCAACAAAAGAAAACAAGGAGCAAGGTTTGGGCCGGAGGTGGGAGAGGATGCACAGGCAGTAGAGTAGTTGTGTATCGCGGGATAGGTTGCAGATCGATGGTTCGGATGATGCGGACACGATGAGACAGCAGAGCATTGCGGCCAAGGTTGCGCATTATGGAATCGTCGAGACCTTGTGGCACACGAGCGGGACATGACGCCTTTGTGCCTGGCCGGGCATTAAACAGGGACAAGACGGCCGGCACAAGTCGCTCCCTTTGTTGCGAGACATGTCACCGTGCCCGGTAAGGGGCGGAGGATAGTACTTACATAGCAAGTAGAAGTCATGGACGGGATGAATGGGGAATGAGGTGGATAATGGGTCTCGTCGCCCCAGACAGGGCCCGGCTCGAGCGTTTGTTCCAAGCAGGCTTCTCGAAGGGCCATGTCAGCGAAGAAGGCGATAGGAGCGCCAGCGCGCGTGTGATTTGATTGTGCGTCGTTTGACCATTGCGGGACTGGGCCAGGATGCCCATGGCTGTCGCTTCACCCAGGCTGCGTGCGAGCCGAGTGCGAGAGGTGCAGGCATGAGCACAAGCACGAGCAGAAGCAGGACGCACAATGCCGACCGCCTTGTTTGGCAGAGCAAAAGCACGAGGGCGAATCCCAGGCCGTTGGGATCCGGGGAATCGAGGCCGGAGCTCCACTTACCCCATCCCCCATCCCCCCATCCCTTTAGCACCAGCCTCGCGTGGGGGGTGGGTGTGTGTGCATCCCATATCCATGCTCCAAACGAGGAGCGGTCAGAGAAAATAATCATGGCTTGCTCCGTCCGCCCATGCCAATGCCCTGATGGTCCGCTTATGGCCATGACGACGAGAGCTCATCCTGTGTGCTGTCGATGCCGCCATGCTTACGCCAGGGAAACCCCAGCCCGGCCAACTCTTGTCGCTCCCAGCCTGTGTGTGTGTGCTGTTCTATGTATGTACTAACTAACGTACATTCTACTTCCTCCCTCCTCTCTCTGGACCGCCCACGTCACGTCGTGTACATCTACACTCTACCCATTGGTTTGCTTCTTCGGCCCGTCTCTACCACTTTGCTCGCCGCCATTCTTTGCAAACTTTCCTGGTACGGCAATCTTGGCTGGTGGACCTCCTGCTGCCCTCGCCTCGAATCCTGCAGCCATGATCACCGTCAGGGCATGGCCTGGACTTTGCTACCTGTCGCAACCCATCCGCTTCCCCGCCGGCTGCCAGCGCCCTTTGATTCACGTCCTGATACACTCTTGTCGTGACTTTTTTTTTTGCTTTTAGCTCAAAGCGTCCTTGCCGTCCCAAAGGGCCCTGCAATCCTACTAGTCATGCGAGTCAGACCAATGTCCCCTTGAGCGGTGAATCCCATCGGAACTTTGCTCCTTGCCTTGTGTATAAGAGAAGCGCCCCCTTCCACGCGGTCATTGCCAATCTCTACACTACTACACAGTCCTGCCAAAAACATCCCCCCCTTTGACTACCTGACTCGTGTCGCTCCCTCTCTCTCTCTCTCTCTCTCACACACACAAACTCACTCACACACACACGTCATCCCATTGACGCCTTCGCTTGTTGGACAATTTACCCCCTGGCCAACCCCATAGCTGCCAATACATACCCTCGCTTCCACCTATCCAAACAAGAACGTGAGTGTAACCCTGCATCCGCCTCCACGCCAACGCATCCACTGTATCTCAGCCCTGTGTCGCATTCCCGAGCCTTTGGCAATCACCTTGGCAATTAGCGTCTGACGCATCCCTTTTTTAGATTTCCAATCCCGCATCATATTCAAATCCCGGCCCTCAGCCTTGCCGTCACACAAAAGCAACACAGCTTATTGCTATATAAATAACTTTGGCTGCCTTCCAACAAACCCACCATCGCCATAAACCTTTTACCTATTACTACTGTATCCCGGGTCTTTGCCAAATAACGCATCCTACTACTACTATTACTACTTCTTAATCCATCAACACACCCACAACCACCCAAACACATCCACACATCCACACACCACCGCCAAGATGCTCTCCTCATCAAGCACCGCCTTC